CAGCGGGGAGCCTGCTTTCTCCTCTCTCTCTATGCCTGCCTCTCTGCCTACTTGTGATCTCTCTCTCTCTCTGTTTCAAATAAATAAATAAAATCTTTATTTAAAAAAAAAGAAGTAATTGGGTAAATTAATTTAATTTTTTTGTTACTGTGTACACACCAAGAACCTCAGCCTCAGAAGGTAGGCCCGTGAACTTAGAGCCTAGAGTCCAGAATTGAGGAAATGCTGTCACATGCGAATTGCAGTTGCTTTTAAGTGCATGCTGGCTCCTTGCCACGGTTCTGCATGTTGTGGGGACTCTGTGGTTGTGTGAGGGGGAGTGAAGCTCAGTAAGCAAGACGTGTCAGTTGGGGTGGGCAAGGACTGTGGGAGGAGAAATTTGAGAAAGGAATAAATTAAATCTTGCTGATACTTTGTTCTCATTCCTAAATATGCTGCATGTGTCCTCAGGGAGACAGACTGGTTTGAAGTGATTTGGAATTGGGACATTGTTCAAGAAGCATCTAGAAGAAATGGAACGGTCTGGTTGGTCTTTTTACAGGTAGTTACAGTTGTATAGGCTGTCTGCCTTCTGACCTTGGCACCACTTTGTGCGTGAAGCCCCAGAGCTACACTCCACGAAACAGATGACTCCTTAAGGGCAGGGCCTATCACTTTGGTCATCTTTCTTTCCCAGCATCCTCACTGTATATATGGTTAGCTCAGGAACTAATCTCTTGAAGGAATGGATGAAGCCAGGTGGAATGAATCTTAATTTCTTTAGGTGCTTAATTTATCACTATTCTGATATTGTGTGAATCAGCTTTTTAAAAAATCGCTTTTTTTTTTTTTACAAGAGATTTTATTTATTTATTTGACAAAGAGAGATCACAAGGAGGCAGAGAGCCAGGCAGAGAGAATGGGGGAAGCAGGCTCCCGGCTGAGCAGAGAGCCCATTGCGGAGCTTGATCCCAGGACCCTGAGATCATGACCTGAACCGAAGGCAGAAGCTTAACCCACTGAGCCACCCAGGTGCCCCATGAATTAGCTTTTAGATCATCTTTGTTCTCCATAGTTTGAGTCTGGCTTAGCAGAGAGTAGGGGCCACATTTTTTAGTCTTTGCTCGAATAGGTTGATGGGAGCCCTATAGGGGAATTAACCGCAGAGTGATCAAAAACTTTTGGTGAGATAGCAGAATTCAGTAATTTCTCATTCAGCTCATAGAAGGGGAAAATAGAAGAGGCACATAAATTCCCAGATGGGGAATTGGATGCATTCAGAAGTAAAAACTCCGAAATCCTTAATGAGAAAAGAGGATTGGAAAATACAGTTGTCAGGAGTTTTTTATTGATTGGTGACGTTCTAGAAGCTTCCTTGGGAAAGGAAGAGAAGAAAATTTTTCCTAACAATTTTAAGAATAACTTTCAAAACCCATCTGAGTAAATTGAATATATTTTAGTGTTCTGTGCTATCCAGTTAGTAACCCTGAGGACTTATCTAGCTGGTTTTATTCTAGGACTGATACTCATGGGGTTCTCCTTGTAGTGCTGACCAGTTCCTGATTCTGGGAGTTAGTACAATCCCACAACTTTTCCCAGCCGTAGCTTCAAAGTCTGGTGTTTTCTGACTCCACCTAGAAGAAAAACTAATTCATCGATCACTATCTGTGATATTAGACACTGTGCTCTAAGCTTTAATAACATAACTTCATTTGATTTCTGAATGTGCCTGTGTGACAGCAGTTCCCATTTACAGTTGAGAAAACAAGGGCTCTTGGGAGTTGTGGAGAGAGTAGACATAATGCATTAACCACTGTGCGGATACCCTTCACTGGTGACTTCTAACCTTACAATGGGTCACACACAGAACATGGTATTTGTGTGGCACATTTGAGTGAATGGTCTAGCCTAGAGATCCTGCTATTGGGCTACCCTGAGGGCTGTGAGGATCATTATCTCAGCATGTCTGTAACTTAGTCACAAGACACTGGTTGGGAAACTGTCCTGTACACATGTCATCTCAATTAGTCTTCACAACAACATTTTAATCTTCATTTTCTAGAAAAGGAACCTGAGGCTCAGCAGTATCTGAGCAACATTGAGCGTGGTTTATAGCCAGTAAGTGACAGGACTTGAGCTGAATAGTCAACTCCGAAGGACTTGATTTTATTGTGCTTAAACTCATTCCCAGCATCTGAAACTTCAGCAGATGGTAAAACAACAACAAAAAAAATAACTTAATCCATTTATCTTTTGGTTTTGTTAAAGTGGTATACTTTCCCCCAGACCAGTCTTATTCCCCTCTAGCTCCAAGGTTTTAAACCGCAAAAGTAAATAACAAACACCTGGTCTTGGAATTGACACCATCCTGTTTGGTATATTTCACTCTTGATCTGGTCTCTTTGTTGGGCACAGAGTTTGTAACTCCCACCTGACCTCTCCAGAAGACTCCTTTGGCCAAATGTGTTCCTCTATAGCCTGTCTTCTCTATAACCTACTGTGCAGCCATAAAGCATAAACTGAAATATTAATGGTGGTGATTTGACAAATATTCCCAAGTCAGGCAGCAAACCTCTTAGTATAGCTCTTCCTAAGCAACTTCTCCCAGTGGGGATTTGTCCTTAGGGAACTTGACAACCTAGAGAAATTCAGAATTTCAGTGAAAATGTTTATAGATTGGGAGGGGTGGGGCTGGGTAGCTCAGTTGGTTAAGCATCCAGCTCTTGATCTCCACTCAGTTGTGACTTCAAGGTCATGCATTTAGGCTCTGCATTGGACTTCACGCTGGGCATGGAGCCTACTTTTAAAAATATTTTTCTTTTAATGTTTACAGCTTGGAACCCTAAGGCTTTTTTATTTCTACCTAATTTTTCTCCATCTTTGATGGAGTAGGAGAATGAATTTTTTTTTAAAACAGATTAATATTCAAGTTAAATATGTATGAGAAAAAATTAACTATGTTTCCTAACTATGTTTCCATGCTTCTTTTTTTTTTTTTTTAAGATTTTATTTCTTTATTTGACAGACAGAAATCACAAGTAGGCAGAGAGGCAGGCAGAGAGAGAGAGGAGGAAGCAGGCTCCCCGCCGAGCAGAGATCCCGATGTGGGGCTTGATCCCGACCCTGGAATCATGACCTGAGCTGAAGGCAGAGGCTTTAACCCGCTGAGCCACCCAGGCATCATTCCTTCCTTGGCTGAGTTAAAGCCCAAGGATTAAAAAAAAAAAAAAAAAAAAAAAAAAAACCCAGCCACCTACTAAGTGACGCCATGTGGACTTTCACAAGCCTCCACCCTGACGTTTTGGCATAGCCACCCTTCCCCAGGGAAACAGACTTCGGTGCTTCCTGCCATTGTGCAGCCTCTTCATGGTTCGTGCAAGTGAGCCTTAGATGAATGTTTGTTCTGCTTCTTGCTCTGCTCTTGCTTTTTAGAGGTTGAGGAATTGTGGTTGGCCATTCATTGTCTTTGTCTCCTAGCTGTAGTTTCAGATGAAAGGTCAGAAGCAATGGAAGGTTTCGTGTTGCTCTCTTCATCATATTCTGAACTCTGCTTCTCCATAAACCCACTCAGTGCTTTGATTCTTAGAGTCTCCCGGACTGATTTTCCTAAACCACACACGGATGGCTGTGCAGGAATAGAGTGGAATCCGTATGTGACTTATATCCGTTGATTTTTCAGCAGGGCTAGCACTTCATAAAAACCAGTTTCCTGGAAGAGTAACTGCGTAGCATCTGCAGCGCTTTTTAACACGCATACACCACCCTGTGTATTCCATTATTTCCCAGCAACCCTAGAGGGCGGCTCAGTCGTGGTTCCCTTTACAGGTAAGGGAGCGGATGTAGTATAAAAAAGATGTACTTGATGGTGAGGTCTTGAGCAAATTAGGCAAGGATAAATGTGGAAATGTGTGTGTCTTGTCTGTTGGTCCATAAAACAAAGTGGAATCATTGGAGTCCTAGGTCATTAAGAGATAAAACCGTGGAGTCTTCTTTTGTTTCCTACCATTGGGCTTTGAGGAGAAGTGGGGAAATCACATAACGTTGCTTTCATGGGAGGTTAATTGACCATTATTGTTTATAGCTAGGATGTATGTCATGCCTTCTAGGTAATAACTCAGCAGCATTTATCAAGTGGAAGTTTCTGTACCAGGCTGAGCTGGGCGCTGCACAGAAAGTATCAGGCTGTTGGTGTTGCCTTCCAGGATGAGTTGTTTGTATCTGTTCTCTTGCTTTATCTTTAGCAGTTCAGTGAGGTTGTATTCTCCCATTTTATAGATGAATTAAGACGTGAGAAATTCAGGCGTGCAGGTGTTAATTGGTCTGAAAACATGGTCCTGATGAAAAGCTAAAGCCTTGGTGTCTTGACTGTCCCCAGCGATTTTGCAGTGTTATTTTGTGCTCCGCTTTCTATGTAAGTGCAGTGCAGGAATTTCAAAACAAAACTAGGGTAGAACCAGTCCAAGAGGGCTTCATGAAGGAGAGTGGTGAGAACTTTGGTGACGTTAAGGGAGAGGGAAAGACGTGTAGGAAGACTTACAGATTGTCTTTGAAATGGTATAGAACTTCCTGTTCTGTTTTATGGCCTGGAATTATCCCTTCTTTAGTGGATTAAAACCATTCTGCATTCTGTTTAGCAGAATGTACTACCTCCACATCCGTCACTACTGTCCTATGGGAGAGACATTGATCAAAAGATGGCATCTTATAGTTCACATATGCAGACATACATATCATAGTCTTAAGGAATTCTGAACTGAAGCTAAGCACCAGCTATGGCAGAGATTTGACAGCAGCTAGAACACAAAAATTGTCTGTCCTGCTGCTTTTTTGTATCCTCTACCTTAAGGGAGCCCAAAGGTTCAGATACATGAGAAAATGAGTTGCAGTCTCAGGTCAGCAGTAAGCATAAGACTGGTCCAGAATGCTCCGATCCGGAACAGAGCTCAAGAGTCTGCAAGTCCCCTTGGGGGCAAGCAGCAGTACAGCTGTCTTTATTGAAGGACTGTTCTTTTGTTTTGCAGTAACAAGCCAGAAGCAGTAGAAGTAACATTTGCAGGTAAGTGTCCTTACTTCAGCCCTGTTAAGGCACAATATAAAAATAGAAAACTCATTCCTAAAATAGGTTTGGAGATTTGGAGTACTGTCCCTTGATTGTCAAGTCTTCTCAGGGTCTTTGTTTTAGATGATCATTTTGTGGATTTATGGAACTATGTGAAGTTACCTGCTGATATCTTAGAAGTTGGGGCTTACTGTTGTGGTATAAACTTCAGTTTAACTTGGAAATATTAAATTACTGCCTTCAAGTAGCCTTCATCTCAGTTTGCCTAGCACTAGAGTAGTGGGGAAACATGGATAATACTAGAGGCCTGTTCAACAAGTCAGAGAGAGGTTACTGTTTTCTAGTCCCTATAAAAAAAATTAGCTGTTGATACTACTCACTTGCTTTGTGGACTTTAAGGAGTTAAACAATCACCCTCTATAAAGTGAGGGTACTTGACTAGATTTTGGAATACTTTTTGCAGCTCTGAAGTGCTGTGATTGGAGACCAGGCACCATCCCTGTCCCCTCCCACTAACCAGCAATGCCAGATCTCCCTAAAGTGATGGCGCTCAGCACCTGGTTTCAGGAACTACCCAGGGTTAAGTCCTCTCTGTACTGCAGGAAGATAGAAGCCAAAGAGAGGGGGGCCTGGATATAAATTAGAAGAAACTTAAGAAATAACCAGGTGCAATGTGGGGGCCTTGTTTGGATCTAATTCAAATAACATGACATTATTTTAAAACTTTTTTTTTTTTTTGAGGCAGAATATTTGAACACTAGACTGGATATTTGACATTAAGAAGCTACTCTTAAAAGTTTAGTCATGGCAGTGGTATTGTAGCTGTGTTGGGTTTTGTTTTGTTTTGTTATGTTTTGTTTTGTTTTTAATTCTTCCTTATCATCTGGAGATGCATTCTGAAATATTTATGGATGAAATGATGTGATGTCTCAGATTTACTTTAGAATAAATCATCGGGGGGACGTCTAAATGAAAGATTGGCCATGTGTTCATAATTGTTGAAGTTACATGGAGCAGGCTAGGAGTCCATTCCATGTACTATTGTAGCTTCTTTAAAATACATCACAACAAAAGCTTTAAAAAAAAAATTTTTTTTCAGCACCAAGCTGTGACGAAGGTAAGAATAGCTTTATAATTTTAGAAGAGAACAAAGAGATCAGTACTTGACAGTTCTGTCCCAGTGTTTTTGCTGACTTTCTGCATGGATTTAAATATACACCTGCTTCCAAGGAGGACCTCCTTGTGGCCTGTAACAAGGTAGGCAGTCACCTTGAGATCTTATTTCCCGTTCCCAAGTTAAGCAGTTTTATTTACTTTCCCTCATAGATTTTGATGGAGTCCTCTATCATATTTCAAATCCTAATGGAGACAAAACAAAAGTGATGGTCAGTATTTCTTTGAAATTCTACAAGGAACTTCAGGCACATGGTGCTGATGAGGTATGTTCCACATCATTTTCCTTGGGTCTCTTGTTTCCTCTTCACCTTGCTGGCAGCTTGCCACTTCTAGAAGGTCTGTGGCAGTGGCCACTCCGGACAGCTTGCTCACCTAACCAGGGACTCTCGACCCATATTACAGAGAAGGGTGTTTTTCAGAAAAAGCTTTGGCTCTTTGCTTGTTGTTTATTACTCTAGAAAAATAAAGGTGTTCCCTAACCAATGAAAACCAAGACAACTTTAGTTCCCAAAAAATGCACCAAACAATACATTCTTAGACCAGTAAAAAAAAATAGCTGTCACAGGGCAGCTGGGGGGCTTAGTTGGTTAAGCATCCACCTCTTGATCTCAGCTCAGGTCTTGATCTCAGGGTCACGAGTTCAGGCCCCACATTGGGCTCCACGTTGTGTAGCCTACTTAAAAAATAGCTATCTTGGGCGCCTGGGTGCCTCGGTTGGTAAAGCAACTGCCTTCGGCCCAGGTCATGATCCCAGGATCCTGGGATTGAGCCTGCTTCTCCCTCTGCTGCCACCCCTTGCTTGTGCTCTCTCTTTCTCTGTCAAATAAATAAAATCTTAAAAAAAAAAAAAAAATAGCTGTCTCAAGATTGAGATGGGTTCCATTCTATTTCTGTAATATTGTAAAGCAGGTATATAGCTCTGGCCTTTAAAGTTTAAGGTCTTAATTTCTCATTCTGGAAATTTAGGTACAAATCTACCCTTTAAATTTTTTGATTTAAACTTCTTTAGAGCTGGCTACTTCAAGTTTCTCTTCTTCCTTATAACTACCATAGGGGAAATAAGAAAGGTTGTCCATGCATTTTGAAATTCTTAATGGCCATGCCTTGTTCACTAGCTTCTTTCTATAGCTTAAGTAGCAGGTTTGGTTCCTGTTGAACTGTATTTGCTCTGGGGAGAGCCATTTATGGAAGAAAGAAAATGCTGTTACACCAGTGTGCATACGTTGTGGTTGGGTCTCAAAGCAGGAAGTATGACTCAGTTCCTGAATCAGTTTTCAGATATCTTTTAGTTTTAACAAGCTAGGTTCTCCTTAATCTGGTGAATGAAGATATGGTCATTTCTATTTTCTTTCTAATTAAGAGCTTTTGAAATAGTTAAAATTTATGCAATGAAAAGGCTGTTTGAGAAAAAAGATCAAAATCTATCTCAGTAATATTTTGGTATAAAAACTAAAATTGATATTAACTATGATCCCAAGGCCAAAAGCAGTCATTTCTTTTAGTTATTCATATGCAGTTGATCTGTCCCAGAAATTCAGGGAAGAGCCAAAACATTTTCTGAATTGCCTATTCAAGGGAAGAGGAAATGTTTAGAGAATTTGTATTCTCTGTGATTTTACCTGAAAGAAAAGCTTCAGGAGGAAGACCCAGTCTCATAAAACATAAGGATCATTCTAGAAAAGTAGCCAACTCCCCTCTTTACCAGATTAAAAACAAAAGGGAACAAGTGACTATTAAAGTGGCCCCACTTTTGATTTACCATAAAATGACAACCTGAAAAGAATTGTTAAAGCTTTGAACAGACAACTCAAAATTGTGTAATCGTTCTCTGCAAACAGTCCTCTCTTTTTAAGATGCAGGCACAATGATAGCAATCTTTGGAAGGGAAAGAAAGCGTTAGAGATGGATTTCTTAAATCTCCTTTCCAGTCTGTGCCTTCTGCACTCTGGAACTCCCCAACACAGTGCTATTCTGGTAGCTCCCACAGGGTCAGAGAACCAACCCCACCCGCCCACGTGGGTGGAGCAAGTAACACTCAGAGCTTTGGAGCGGAGTGCACGGTGCGTGGCTCTCTGGGTTGGTTAAACAGTGACCAGCTTGCAATAACCAGAGGAAGCTTGCTGCTCTGCCCAGGCCCTTTTTCAAGGCAGAAAGCCTCTGCTGCTAGGGCGGGAAGGTCTGATGGTGAGGACCGATGGGCTGTCTCCACCCATCTCCTGGTGTCAGATTGAAAGAGGGGGCACTCCGTGGAAAATGAATCATGGTTAAAAGTGCAGGTGAAATCAACAGGAAGCATTGGCTGGTTTTGCCAAGTGGAAGGAGCAGAAGAGTGAAATGGTATAAGTTTGGCTCTTAGATCTCAGAATATTAAGCTTGGAATTAAACTAAATCTTGAGAGCTATGTTTTTTTCTTCCACAATCTAATTTCCCCTTCCTCCAAGTACCCACAGTCCACCTGGTGCAGTACTGTAGCTCAGAGACCACACGCTAGTTCAAATTCTGCTGGGATGTGCCCATTATTCTTCCCGCCGCCTCAGAACTTTAGAAGTGGTATGTAGGACACCTGAAGGTGAGATCTCTCTGTGCCACCAACAAACTCTGTGACCTTAACCTCTCCCTTCAGTTCCTCTTCTGTAAAAGAGACAACCCTACAGCGGCTTTATGGTCACCAGATCGGAACTGTGTGTGACCTTACTTGTTGTTTGCCTGTATACGAACCAGTGTGCCCACACAGTCAGAACTGAGGCCTGTTCTCTTTCCATCGTTTGATAGATAGATAGAGAATTTCTTCCAGCTGTAGGAAAGTGGTGAAATAAATGTGTGGAATAGTAAAGAGTATTTAAGAACAGGAAGTAAAGAACCTTGCTGTGTGATAATTTTTTCAAATAGGCCATACGTGGTTTGCTGCTGCATTTTTTTTTTTTAAATACCTAGAGGGTGCATTGAAAGTAAGATTAGAAGAAAACCTAAGAATTCACTTGGCTCTGTTTACTGCCAATCCCCATATGCAGGCATGAGTGGGCACAGGGCCTGCTCGCATGGGGCTCCCCTCTAGGCTGCCTGCACTTGCGCTGCTTTTCTCTGGCTGATGAAATCCTGTAAAACCTGCATGTGTAACTCCTACAATTAAAACAAAAGTTCATGCTTTTGTTCACTTTTAATTTGGTGACTTGTCACTGATGAAGTATCCTTTTTTTTTTTTTTTTTTTTTTTGTATCCCAGAAAATTACAGAGGATCGTGAGTGTGTGTGTGGTGAGGTAGTGTTGAGAAATTGACTAAGTGTCTACAGACAGAGCTCGGTAGCCTGTTGTACTGCTGTCACATATATTGGCCTCCGTTTTCCCTTCTTGTGGAATAGCGACGACACCTTCCCTCCCTGAATGTGTTTTCAGTGAGGGTTAAGAATAAACCATGTCTGTTTTGCCTCTTACACATATAAAGACTACTAAATACCGAAAAAGTGACTAAGTTCTGACGACTCTAATGTTTACGTTTTTCTATCCTCAGATAGCTGCTTTTTTACTGCTTACCATAGCCTATATAACATTTAAATCTGAACTGGTCCTTCCAGAAGGTTTCTGTTTCTCAAATTGTCAGCCTAAGAGCAGTTTGTACCAGATGAAGCAGTCACTCTGACAGAGAAATAGGAAGGTATATAAAGGGCTCTTGTTTTATCATTTACTCCCCAAAGCTGGAGAGGAGCCAGTAGCAAGTATTTCGGGGTGCAGGCAGGCATTTAGAGAGTACAGCCTTCTGTGGACCCACCAGCATAAATAAATGGCTATGTGGTTCAGTGATCTCTTGTCTTTTGTCTTAAAATCCATAAAACCGATGAGCTAAATAATTTTAAGGCTTTCAAGATAAGCAGGCTGACTGGAATCTGTTCCCAGCAATTCTGCCTTTATCTCTTTACTCACCTGGGTTACTGGTTCGGCCTGTACTTAATTGATAACTAACATAATCTACTCTCACTTGGGTTTGGCATCCTTTTGCATTCTTGAAAACAAAAGTGATTGTGTGCGATACATAGTCGGGAGGAGAACAGAGAGCCTAAAACAGGGGTGACCAACTCCTAAAAGTTAAAAGATGAGCCTGGATTGAAAAACAGATCCTAGATTAACCTTCTGGATTTTTTTTTTTAACAAGGTTTTGGTTTTTCTGTTTTGTTTTTAAGATTTTATTTATTTATTTAAAAGTGAGAGCGTGAGTAGGAGGGAGAGGGAGAAACAGACCCCCCCCCAGCTGAACAGGGAGCCTGATGAGGGGCTCGATCCTAGGACCCTAAGATCGTGAACTGAGCTTAAGGCAGATGCTTAACCAGCTGAGCCACCCAAGTGCCCCTAACCTTTTGGATTTAATCTTCACTCGTGAGGGACTGGCTTGGTAGCTCAGATGTATCTGCTTCCCATTGTGTATCCAGTGTCCCATCCACCAAATGAAAAATTCTGATTTAGAAGGAGCTTGGCAAATATAATGCTTTAAAAATAATGACATTATCATGACATTTGGATTAACATTTGTTTTTGTATTTTCTAGTTATTAAAGAGGGTGTACGGGAGCTTCTTGGTAAATCCCGAATCAGGTATGTAGTAATGCAACTGTGGGATGACATGGAAAGAGACCTGTCCTGTTTGTACTCTGCTTTTTTTTAACCAAAGCATTTCATTTAAATACTGTGCATTCTACAAATATTTCTGCCTGAGCCCAGTTCGCACTTCAACTCTCTCCATAAAAATAGCTTGTAAGGGACTTTGCTTTGTCCAGTAATGGTACACAGTGTGGTTTGCAAAACTGATGTGGATCATTTTTAATGTTTATGTGGTGGAGCCAAGTGACTTACAACCAGTGGGCCCCTTTTGTTTGCTCATGGTGATTAAATGCCTTTTGAGACTGAGCAAACATTGGTTTTCACCCCAGCCCCTAATTACACCATTTTCTGTACTTTGCACTTTTGGAGAAGGAAACATAACTGTTCTCACATTTTCAAGAAACAGAAATTTCAGTCCCTCCTTTTAATCTGTTCTTTTTAATAAAGAATAAATAGCCTCTTCACAGCCAGAGGAATTGAAAAGCACCATAGCCTTCCTTGATTACAACAGCTATGTTCCTGCTGTTTTACAGGAAATTTAAAGCAGAAAAACTGAACAGTATTTTCATCCTCGTGAATAAGTGCTGGGCTCAGATTCTGCATTTAGCTGGGCCCCCTGATGAGGACCAAGTAGTTAAATTCTTTTGAACACATTACTCACATTTTGTTCCTGTGGTACTTCGATTAGCAAATTGTTCTAAGGAGAGTTCATCTGTCTATTCACAGCTGTTATTTTCACTAGCTTATTTCCTTCCCCAGCCTTTGTGTGGTTTTTGTTTGCTTATTTGTTTTCATTTTTATAATGTGACATGCCTCAACAGTCCCAATAAAAGACTTTCCCCGGTCAATCCCAATAGAAGACCTTCCCCAGTCTTCTGTATGCTGTGGAAACAAAATACCAAATACAGAATGATATCTTTGGGACGTAACTTGTTACTAGGGATACTGTGGGTGGGAGAATACTGGAATGTTTTCATCCCCAAATAGATGGTAGAAATATATCAAGAAATAAAAACAAAAACAAAAAAATAAATAACACTGTAGGCTTTAAGGGGATTCAAGGAATTTTAGAGAGAGAAGAAGAAAGAAAGAAAGGCAGAAACAGAACTAGACTAGAAAAAATCGTGTTGGAACTCTTGGGCATGCTTGACATAGCTCAGATCCTATAGTCTCCCAGAACCACTGGAGTGTAACACAGAACTAATGTTTCTGTCCCTGAGCCTTTTCTTCTACTTCCTGCTAAAAGCGCAGGCCATTGCCAGATTGCAGACCTTGTGTTCATACAAGTGCAAAGTATAAATACACATGAAAGTGATGTGTCTCCTCTTTTTCTGTGGGTTTATATAGGCAAGTTTGGGAGTCTCACCAGGCTCTACTAGATTTTTCCTTTTAATCTGTCCTCAGTATGTTCCTTTTCATCATATGAAAGCCTTACTTAGAGTCTGACTTGAGCTGTAGTTTTATTTTGTTTTATTTGGCTTCTTAAAACTAACAAAGCTCAACTTCATGTATTTTCATTTTCTATCTAATCTTTAATCCTGTAGTCTGCTTCTCTGGTTTTCAGGTACCCAAAATGGAGTGATGATTGATATTACTCAATATTAGAGTGCCAGAAATATGCTCAGCACAATCTAGAACATAGATTTAGATAGCCCATGTTCTCAGTGAAGCTTGATCCAACAAAAAACATACCTCCAGAATGCGCTTGGGAAAAAATTAAATAGTGACGAAGTATAAATGTTTAGATACTCCATACGGTTCTGGTAAAATTATTCCCAGCAGTTACCTAGAATATGAAATGGCCCTCAGTGATGTACAGATACTCTTGCAAAGCCACCTGTAGGCTTTTTGCCTTATATTAATTGTTTGATTAGCTAATCAGTTTCCCCAGCCATGTTTGCTGGAACTCATACTTGACATGCTGTAAAGAGGGAGAATAGTGGGCAGTGGTCAGCAGACTTGGCTTTGGGTCCCATTTATTGATGACCTACTGTGTTCTGGGCACTTTAAAATACTTATAAGCGCTCTAAATATTCCCAAGGGCCTCCCCAGTCTAGCCACCCTTTTTAATTTTATTTTTATTTTTATTTTTTTAAAGGTTTTCTTTATTTATTTGAGAGAGAGAACAAGAGATAGCATGAGAGGGGAGAAGGTCAGAGGGAGAAGCAGACTCCCCATGGAGCTGGGAGCCTGACGTGGGACTCAATCCTGGGACTCTGAGCCCAAGGCAGTCACTTACCCAGCTGAGCCACCCAAGCGCCCTAGCCCCCCTTTTTAAATAGATGTAGGAATTATAGAGGTTAGGTAGTTTGTCCAAGGTCATGAAGTGGCAAGACCCAGGATTTGGACCCAGTTCTGTTCAGTTCCAAATAGAGTTGCCTGTACCTCTGTGTCATGCTGCATTTAGCATGGCACTCTGCTCCTTTGAACTTGTTTTCCCTTTAAAATGAGAACAACTGTATCTGGCCTGCCTACTTCAAAGAATTCTTACAGAGATCAAATGAAGTAAAATATTTTAAAACACTGTGAAATTTTGGGGGATGCCTGGGTGGCTCAGTTATTAAGCGTCTGCCTTCGGCTCAGGTCATGATCCCAGGGTCCCTCTCCTACTCCCCCTGCTTGTGTTCGCTTTCTCTCTGTGTCTCTCTCTGTCCAGTAAATAAAACTAAAAAAAAAAAAAAAAACCTGAAATTTTGATAGCATGTAGAAACAAAAGCTTTTGGGGAGGTATACACATACACACACACATTTAAATTTGTCCATACTTCACCTCTTGCCACAAAGGGTTTGCGATGGTATGTGAAGGGTTTTTTGTTTTGTTTTTTGTTTTAATTAAAAAGCTACCCAGGGGGGTGCCTGGGTGGCTCAGCAGATCGGGCCTCTGCCTTTGGCTTGGGTCATGACCCTGAGATCATGCAAGATTGAGTCCCACATCCCCACATCAGGCTGTCTCCTCAGCGGGGAGCCTGCTTCCCCCTCTCTCTCTCAGCCTGCCTCTCTGCCTACTTGTGATCTCTCTCTCTGTCAAATAAATAAATCTTTAAAAAAATAAAATATCTTATTAAAGAAAAAAAAAAGCTACCCAGCTGCTGACTTTGTGTTAGCACTTGGCAGTTAAACCGTCAGAGGAAAATACATAACTCGTATTATTATAGCTTGATAGCATACACAGGTGCCCACTTCATTCCTGTGTCTGGAACACTAAATTTCTACTCAAAGTTCTGAATTATGGCTGCTTTTTATTCCTTATTTGTAATCAGTCATCTTTGATATTGATTCAAATTTTTGCATAGCATTTGTTAATTAGATGTATATATTTACGGTGGTTATACAAGAATTAAAGTTTTATCTTAACCTTGAGAGTGGACAGCAGTCTACCTGGGTTAAAAGTATGGACACTGAAACAAGATAAGATGTCATTAGAACCTGCAAAGTTTTTTGGTTTCGTTTTAAATATAACCACTTGTGGGTTTTTTTCCCCTCTCTAGGATACAATGTCTCTTTGCTATATGACCTTGAAAATCTGCCGGCATCCAAGGATTCCATTGTGCATCAGGCTGGCATGTTGAAACGAAATTGTTTTGCCTCTGTCTTTGAGAAATATTTCCAATTCCAAGAAGAGGGCAAGGAAGGCGAGAACAGGGCAGTTATCCATTACAGGGATGATGAGACCATGTGAGTATAGAACCTGGTCCCAAAGCCGGGGCAAGGCTTACATGCCCTCACTGAAAGATACACATTAGGTCAGACCTTAAGCTCTACTGTGTGAATCCCCCTAACATGTCTTTCTCATAAAGTTCTTTAAGCCAGGTTGTAGATGACAGGGGAAAAAAGGGGGCCATTTCTGCTCTTCTCCACAGATACCAGTAGTTGGCAAAAGATGAAGGGTGCTTTCCTTTAAGACACCACTATTGAAGGTCCCCTTTAGTCATATAGCCTGGGTGACAAGAAGGGAGAGGGAACTGTGTGTTCTGCGTGTTTGCAACTCTTGGATCATCTACATAGTAGGACTCTCCTAGTATATAAAGCAAGAAATGTTTTAAAGTGAAGTTCTGAGAGTTAGTAACCCCCGATACCATGTCCCACCACACAGACACGTCAGTATCAGCTCCTCGGGGTGATGGTCCTCTCCTGCCTCTCTGGGCGTGCATGTGTTATGCTGACTCTGTTGGTCCAACATACTGAGTCTCCCTTGGCACACCTTGTTTTATGAACTAACTGATTTAGGACTTACCGCCTTCTTCACTTGGAAATCAAGTTCTTGACAAAATCTCATGCTGATTCTTCTTATCTCATGGGTTTTGTTCCCCTCAGGTACGTTGAATCTAAAAAGGACAGAGTCACGGTAGTCTTCAGCACAGTGTTTAAGGATGATGACGACGTGGTCATTGGAAAAGTGTTTATGCAGGTATGCAGAGGATGTCTTGCGGAGGGAGCACGGGGGTGTGCTGGCTTACACCTGGGCACCAAAGCACACCGTGAGCATAGGAGAGAGAATGGGCCGCTCAGAGGGCACCGGCACTTGTCAGAGATTTCATCAGACAGCCTCCACAGAACTCACTGTGCGTTGTTTTTCCCTCGTGCCTTTTGCCTTTTCAGCACTGGACTGGAGAGTGAATTGAGGATTAAACAAGCTAATGGTATGACTGAGGTTTTTTTTGTTTTTTTGTTTTTTTTTACTTTTTGTTTTTTTGGTTTGTTTTTTTTTTTTTATTTGAGAGAGAGAGAGAGACAGTGAGAGAGAGCATGAGCGAGGAGAAGGTCAGAGGGAGAAGCAGACTCCCCGTGAGGCTGGGAGCCTGATGCGGGACTCAATCCCGGGACTCCAGGATCAAGACCTGAGCTGAAGGCAGTCGCTTAACCAACTGAGCCACCCAGGCGCCCCGGTATGACTTAGTTTTAAGCACCCTTGCTGCCATAGGGTCTTCAGTTTAAAGCTTAGTCATGTTTCCTACCCTCTTGTGTTTCCTGCAGTTTCTGGCAAGGTCCCTTCTTGGCTTGGTTTAGTTCTTCTCAGAACTGAGTCTCTAGATTCCTGAGCAGCAGGTAGTGCATCAGTAGGGCAGAGTGGGGGGGCAGACAGGGAGGCAGATTGGCCAGGGTTTGTCCGAGGTCACCGCAGAGCGCCTCCCTCAGAAGAAGCTCACCTGTCAAGGAGAGGAATGGGGCTGAGTGGGACATTTGGTAATTGGATTTCTGGTACAGTTGGACTCCAGTCTGATACAATACCCCACTGTGGCTTTGTCATGCTGTCTGCTGACCAGCTGCTCGCTCTGAGATAGGAGAGCTCGTCGTTGAAGTGGTATATTCAGGCTGATTTCTTCCAGGATGGCTCAGCATTCAGGCTGATTTCTTCCAGGATGGCTCAGCATTCAGTAGCTAGTACGGCGGTTAGATTGTCAAACACCTTTTGTACATTCATCCTGTTCCTTGGCAGGGTGAGGAGATTTAAGAATTCTGAGACAGACTCTTTTTTGTGCCATGGAGTTGAAAGATGGTTGTGCTTAGTGCAGTGAGGATATTTTATGGGTATCCTCTCTAAGCGGCTAGGGACATACTCAAAAGTAAGAGCCTCAATTTCATCCATCTCTGGTGGCTTTTTGTGTTTAGTTTAATTAATCAGAAACTCTAATTTTGCAGTCACTATGCAGAAGAAATTGGAATATTGACACTTCCAGCATTTGAGAGCACTAAACTTTGACAGAGAGAGAGAGAGAGAGAGAGAGAGAGAGTGTGTGTGTGTGTGTGTGTGTGTGTGTGTGTGTGTACGTGTACGTACACACAGATGTATAGACCTATATCTTGGGTCCTAAATGTAAGCCTCCAGACAGGCATTTCATCTGTTTTTAGGCAGAATTGACAAGGGAATTAAATGCAGTAGCTTAGAAATTGGGCTGAATCCAGACTGACAAACTAATTTTAAAAGCTATGAAGTGTATATTTAGATTTGGCTGGTTTTTTACCAGTCTTGTTCCATTTTATTCCCGGCGACATCTTAACTTATTTTTGTGCTTTAAACAGACCTTATCTTGGAGAGCTTACAGGAGATTTGTTCCTTAGGAGAATTTTGTGTGCTTTTTTGCATATGAATTTAAACTCCTCCCTCAAAGTACATGTGATAGGGCACTGGTCTCAAAAGGAAGAGAGAGTCTGCATTTTTGCACTGCCAGTATCTCTAGTTAGTGACTGGACTGGCACTGGGCAGCCCCATCTGGTGTCCAGGAACGTGGAAAGCCTGTGCTTGGGAAGCCATCTGCCTTTCCTCCATCTCCACAGAGTCAGTGGCTGGGACAGTTTATTTGAAATGACCTTAGAAAACTGGGCTTATTTTGCTGGATTTTGCTCCAAAATAAATTATCTGAGAATTTTCCTGGACATTGTTACTTTAAATTTCCAGAACAGCGGATGCCTAGCGCAGAATGCTGTGACTCTGGGATGCTGTTTGAAGTTTTCCTGATAACTGACCTGCTTGCTGTGGGCCTTTGTGGGTCTCCCCCCTACCAGTGTGGACCTCCAACGTGGTTCAGAACATGATTGCTGCTTTTGTCCGTCAGCCGGCCAACTCTGACCGTTGCTGTCCTGCCTTTAAGAATAAGACAGGAGCTTCCATTCCCCACTCACATGGATACTCTAGTGTTTGCCTTTGGTGCACTGTCTCCGTCGGCATGCAAGCTGAGCACTAGAGAAAGTCTGGTAGATACCATGTCACTGCTCATTCTGTGGCAAGCACTAAGAACAGTACAGTTTTGGAGATTAGCGTATGGTGAACTAGAATATTTTTCATATTTTTAGATCTTAACGTCAGCCCCCATAACCAAGAAAAGTTAAACAGAGTCCACTGGTTTCTGTATGTTGGGGGACAAGACACAAGCAGTCTGCCTTCTAGGCAGGTGTAAAGGTAGGATGTTGAGGACCCTGTCTACCTAGATGCCTGTGTGGTCATAGCTGCAGGGTGTTTTCCTGAAATGGGAGCACGGAGTCAAAGGAACTCTAGTAGATATTGCCAGACCCTCCATAGAAGTTGTGCCCTTTTGCCTCCCTCCTTCAATGCATGAGAGTGCTCGATTTCCAGAGTATGTTGTCAGACATTCAGATTTCTGCCGGTCTGATGCATTAAAAATGATATTTATATACTCTTGGGAATGAGGTCCAAAATCTTTTCTTATGTTGAAGGCTATTTATTTTTCTTCCCTTTGAGATGTCTCTATCCTTACCTATTTTTCTGTTGGGTTACTGATCTTCTCTATTTCTTTATATGCTAGAGAGAATAGCCTTTTATCTGTGTAGGAGTTGCAGATATTTTTTCCAGCTTGTCATTAGAGTTTGTGGGGGGGTTTTCCCCTCAATGCAGAAGTTTATTTTCACAAAGTTCAGCCCGTCCCTTCTGTGGCTCCTAGATTTTGAGTCATGGTTAGAAACGCCTTCCCTACTCCAGGATTTTAAAGAAATGTACCTGTATCATTTCTTAGTATTTTTATAGTTTCATATTTTACACCTAATCTTTTGATTACCTGTTTGGAGTTTTCTCCTGGTATATGGTTTGAACAATGGATCCATCATTTTTTTCTAAATAGCTACCCCCTGGTCTCAGTAGTCATTGTTTCAAGGCCTGTGTTTATACCACCAATTGAAGATGCTACCTTTATCATATACTCCGTTTTTGTATATATTTGGATTTATGCCGTATTTGCTATCATAAATTGTGCTTTGGTGGAAGAGAGAAATAGTATTGTGGTACTCAAAAGACATCCTAGTTGGAGGAAAAAGAAAGAGGCATCATTGCTGATAGATACAGGACAAAGACCCTAACAAGAAAGGAGAGCTATTTGTGTGGGTTGGTTGATTGTTTCTGAAGTATTATTTAAGAGAGCGCAGCAAGAAGAAACAAAGACCGGAGCGAGCCCCAAATCAGAAGTGCATTGTTAACCAGATCTAACGTGTGGTTTTCTGCACACAGAACCCAAGGAATCCGTGCTAATAAGTCACCATGGGTTTACACACACCCCATCTGGGTTTGAATGCCAACAGGTACCAGTGATTTGGAGTCTTCAAGAAACTTAATAAACATAAGAAAATGCTGGCAGTTACTGTCTGTTCTATTTTCTCCCCGTCCCCCCAGGGGAGGGGCGCTAAAGAGTGAAAAAGAAGTGAGTAAACCTCCCAGCCCTTTGCAGAATGAAAAGTAATGTTTTCTAGAGATGGGTAATCTCAGAAGCTTTGCTTTAGGAATTTCCATTTTGAATGATCTTGACTCCTTCTCTGCCTCTCCAAATACTTTCCATTTGAGGAACAAAATTTAAGAGGGAGGTAACCTAACCTGGCTGTGGTAGTTTATCTTCCACCAAGCTCTAGAAGCCAGGCAATGCCGGCTCAGGAGGCAGCATAGGGGAACAGGCAAGATCCCAGACTGGGCATTAGAATTCCTCAGATGTTACCCTTCTTTTGCTGCTAATTTGCTGAGGGCTTGCTGCCCTGTGTACTTTCTTCCTACCTACAGATGGAAGCGTAGTCCCTGTCCCTTCCTTTACAGTGCGACAGCACTAAGTCAGCGAGGGTAGAAAGCGCTTGCTTTCATTCAGCAAGCTGTGTGCTAGCCGGCCTCTTTGAAAGAGAAGAAATGGATACAGAGTAATAAAGGAGGATCCTTGGCTTGTAGAGCTTACAACCTGGTAGGGAAGCCAGACTGTTAGTGAATAATAAAGGGCCATAGTAGAGACTTAGAAGACATGGGAACTGCTGACGAGACAGCAGCCAGCTGCCCAAGTGTGCTCGTGATGGCAGGATAGAGGAGGTCATATCTGAGCAGCAGCAGAAGAGCATCACAGACCGAACAGCCGTGGAAGCTTGTTTTTGGTCCTCCTGACGCTCCGAGGCTTTACCTAGCCCTCGGTTCCATCCTTCTGCTATCATTCAGTGAATTTGGATCACCCTGTTCTACCGGCATTGCTGGAAAATCTAGTTCTGTTTTTGCACATCTGGGTTGAGACAGGGATGCCTTGTATCACTTTGGTATGTACACAGGAATATATGCGTTAGAAAAGCCTATGGTTTGAAGATGAAAACATGGGAGGAATGACCTGGTTTTTACATCCTCATTTTCCTGTCCTTTGAAGAGGGTGGGGACGTTGTCTTAGGGATGATTTGCTCTTAGACAGAGTGATGGTGATTGAATTCATCCAAGACCAGAATTAACGGTCAGGCTTTAACTTCTCATGTTACATAGCCTCCTTCTCTCAGTGATGAACCCTAAAACAACTCTGCTTCTTTAACTCCATTGTCTTCTGCCCCCAAGTAGGGCTTACATTTAGTATGAAGTTCTGTTTGGTGGGTTCTAAACAGTAATGGTCTAAGATAACTCTGCAAAACAGGACTTATGTGAAGGTCCAGAGCCCCGAGAAAGCCTGGTTTCAAGAAAGGGGAAGAAGCAGAGATGGGGCGGAAGGGGCGGTGGCGGGTGGGTGAGAAATGGGCCAGCTCCTAACGGGCTTTCAGGCAAAGAGGAAAAGAGTTAAGATTTTATCTTGAGTCTTAAGCAAGCTAGAGCCTGGGTTCCATAGCACCCTGAGATTTTCAAGATTTCCTGATAAATACAGCCTCTCCGCATGAAATCAAAAGAACCAAATCAGCAGAAGTCCTTAATCTAAATGTAAGCTGGTTCTCTCATGCTTTGCAGTTTGTTGTCTGCTTAGTCTCAGATGGACTTTTATTGCCTCTTTAATTGCCTCTGTCGTTGCAAAGCAAGAGAAAGGGAATGGGATCAAGAATGCTCTCATCAGGGGCACCTGGGTGGCTCAGTGGGTTAAGCCTCTGCCTTCAGCTCAGGTCATGATCTCAGGGTCCTGGGATCGAGCCCCGCATCTGGCTCCCTGCTTGGTGGGGAGTCTCCTTTTACCTGTCCCTCTGCTCCTCCCCACTCTCTCTCTTTCTCTCCCTCCCTTCCTCTCTCTCTTTCTCTCAAGTAAATAAATAAAATCTTAAAAAAATTAAAAAAAAAAAAAAGAATGCTCTCATCACATTTTGAAGATCAGCTTTGTTAAGGACTCCGTGGTCTCTGCTTTTTGAGTCCAGATCGTGTCATGGCAGGTGGCACTGTCCTACATCATGCCAGGTGTTTCTTAGCCGTCTGCCGCTCTGGAGTGCTACAGAGGGCACACCCCGTGGGGCCAGCCTTGTAGTGGAAGCTGCTGTTCTCCTTACGTCAGATTCTCTTCTGCTTGCTTTGTGCAGGAGTTCAAAGAAGGCCGCAGAGCCAGTCACACAGCCCCGCAGGTCCTCTTCAGCCACAGGGAACCGCCTTTGGAGCTGAAAGACACCGACGCTGCCGTGGGCGACAACATTGGCTACATTACCTTTGGTGAGCGGCGTCGGGGGTGCCTTCCCGCTGCGGGAGACCTGAACAGGGACAGGACTTTGTTAAAATGTGGAAGGGGCAAAAGCAGGCATACCAGATCATTCTGTGTCAGTGCGTTAACTGTGGGAAGGAGTGCCATAGTCCTCTTTTTTTTCCCCCTGTTTTTCTTAAATGCTGGGAGAAAAAAAATCTAGCCCCTGGTGTCAGGTGTTAAGACTTGGGACCACATAAGCACCACAAAGCAGCTGGGTGGGAGAGAGTTCTCTGGCATTTGGTGTTTCTTGGTTTTTTGCTTCCTGAGCCAGCGCTCCAGCCATGATGCACTTATTCCACTGAAGAAATTCAAGTCTTCCCTTCTGGTTGCTCCAGACCAGTGAGCTGGCTCAGGATTATAGCTGACGGTTTGAAGTAACCGCTTGTTCTCACATGGTACCCGATGCCACTGAGATGTGGCCTTTTGTGAGATTGGAGTCCCCTCACTCCTAATGGTGCACCTGTTGATTGGTGATGAGCCCGCCAGTTTACCATGTTTTCCTGAAATCCGAACTACACATTTTCTGTCGTGTGACGTCTTTGAGGTTGGAACACAGCTTACAGTTCACGCGTGCCACACGCGTTAGTTGGCAGCCTTTCTCTCTGTGGTGCATATAAACTGTCCGGTTGTTGGCATCTTAGATCCTAGGCCACATAGTTACCTCTGGTTCTGGTGTTTGTTTCTTCTCAGTGCAAATGGACACCGGGGTCCCACCTTTTCTTCTGAGGTATTCCTTTTCATGTTAGCAAAGCCACCTAGTTGGAGGATTTTACTGTTGCCAAGACCACTGAGTAGAGTAGGTGCAGGAGACGGGGAGGATTGCAGAAAGCTGAAGGGAGGGGTGAAGAGGGCAGAGTGGCTGCAGGGGGCTTCAGTGCATGGTGTCCTGGGAGGGGTTTTTCTCATGCTCGGCCAAAGCAGCTCCTGCTGCCTATTCTCATCAGGAAAGTTGAGGTCCTTGGAGCTTACAATGTTTAGTGTTCACAAGACCACTGAATCTTCTGGAACCAAGTGCCTCTGAAGGCCAAAGCACCATGGATGGAGGATAAGCAGGCTGTGTTTCCTCATACTAATGTCAAAGATAAGGTGTTTTCTCCAAAGTCACCCCACCCCCAGCCAGTGGTCCTACCTTCTCAAGAGACCATGACCTAGAGTGATGCCCGGCACTAAGCCCTTTCCCAGGGGAGCCCTGGTTTTCTGCCATCACCTCCTCCATTTTCCTTGACATAGCCTCCATTTGCACTCACTGGGACCCGCCCTTTTGTAGTACTTATCCCTTCCTTACTGGAGGAGAACACCTTGTCAGAGCCTGGGCTTAGTGAAACAAATGCATTCTCCTCAGGCAGGGAGAGGTCAGAGCTGACTGTAGGCTCCGATCTTGCCGCCCTTTGGCCTTGATGTTACCCTGACATCTTATCTGTGCCCCTGCCCGCAGTGCTGTTCCCTCGCCACACCAACGCCAGTGCTCGAGACAACACCATCAACCTGATCCACACGTTCCGGGACTATCTGCACTACCACATCAAGTGCTCTAAGGTGAGGCGGCATTGTGGCACCTCGGGCCTGTGCTCCAGGTCACTCTCCACCAGAGTTAATGGCATAAAAAGTCATTTCTGCGTGGGCTGCCCCTGGCTGCCTCAGTCAGTAGAGCATGTGACGTGATCATGATTACAGTTGTGAGTTTGAACAGCATACTGCGGGTAGAGTTTACTTTTTAAAAAAAAGTCATTCCTATAGTCCAGGCTGTTGCTATGAACTCTAATGGTTCTGGAGACTTTAAGATACCTTGGCCTTCCTTCCATCTCTCCCCACTACCTCTCTGCACAGTAGAGAATGAACATGTCTCCAGAAAGGGTTGCCCTCCGGCTTGCCTGCATGGACCTGTGTCAGGCCCAGGGCATATGTTCCCAGACCTTCCTGATAACTTCTACTGAAAGCAGAGCTGTCTTTCTAGGACATGACTGCTTCAGTACCCATTGTGTTTGCTCCCAGGCCTATATCCACACACGTATGCGGGCGAAAACATCTGACTTCCTCAAGGTGCTGAACCGTGCACGTCCAGATGCCGAGAAAAAAGAAATGAAAACAATCACGTGAGTAGGGCAGTCTCACAGGCAGGACCACCCTCCTTTCCTGATTTCACCAAGAGGAAACTAGTGGATGTGGGTGACCTGGCCCTCCAGGTGTCTGGTAGCTGCTGCCTACATGGGAAAGGCAGACAGGGTCGGGCCTGGAGCCACTTGACTGACCAAAAATGGGATGGACAGGTTTTCAGTCCTGAGTGGGCCTGGATGGATTTCCTTGTTTCCACATCTTCGTGAGCTAGCAAAATGTCAGCTAGGGAAGACAGAAAGGGGCCTTTTTACCGAGATGCACTATGTTCTCTTTGGGCCCGAGTTAAGAGGTCAGTCCTCAGGGTCTTCCTGGAAAAGGGGAGAGATTTGCTTACAGACATTCAGCTGAGTTAACGGGCCTGCAGCCACCCCTATTTTTATCCCCTGGTCTGCTGCTTGGCAGGAAGTTGCGTGGAGACGGAGTTATCTTTCTCAGGGATGGAAATGCTGAATAGCGCTCCCATGTGTGGCTCCGTGCAGGAGAGGCCAGTGTGGCCTGGAGCCTAGGTAGGGATTAAGGTCTTCAAGCAAAATGTCAGGTTTGGATGCCCCTTCTGGTGAAATTTAGGCGATCCTGTTCTCAAGGAATAAGTGCTTATCTGCCAGCTTCTGTGCCCCTTAAACTCAGGTCTTAAGGTGAACTAAGCTTCTGCACACCCCTCCCAGCCAGCGTATTTACCAACACCAGCTCCTCTCAGGGATGACCTTTGGCAGGTATGGTGTGCACAGGGCTCCAAGTTCTCCCCTGGCACATGAGGCCTCTCCTGCCAAGCTAGTTTCTGCTGCCACTTGACAGGATAAGAGAGGCGCCTGACTCTTGGTACCTGAGCTGAGGGTTTTCAGTCTCAGGAACATCAGAGCAGTGGAAGTCACTCCCGATTTCCTTGGGTAAAGGCTTATAAAAGCAGTGGAAGTCATTCCCGATTTCCTCGGGCAAAGGCTTTACAGGCCGCTTTATAGGCTAGGTAGTAACTCGCTGTAGCGCCCAGAGCCTCAGGAGGGGTGTTCAGGCTGTAGTTGGGTCCTCTGCTTCCAGAGAGGTGTCCAGAAGCCATGGTGGCAAATTCACAGCATCACCCCTTCTACTCTGCAGCTTTGTGGCAAGGCCAGAAATGGGCAAAACCAACACTGTGGGGAGGGCATATGTCCTAGGACACAAACGCTGTTTCCACCTCTTCTAGAACCTGGCCTCCCTCCTGGAGTTTCCAAGGTCCCCTGCCCCTCTGGCTTTCCACGGAACCTCTTTTGTCACTTTGGTGACCTCGAGCGTAAGGCAGCCGATGCTGTGCTCTTTCCAAGGCCAGTGGAGAGACTGGCTGGGAGGTGAACGGGCAGCTGGGCACAGCAGAAGGAAGCCTGACCCGTCAGTCCATCCCACACCAAATAGGAAGTCTGGCCTTGTAAATAGTCCATAAGGGGCTGCCTGTGTCATCTTTAGCCCTGTAACTTCTCGTCTGTTCAGAAGAGCCCACCAAGGCAGCCACCACCCAGTGTCTCCCCACAAGGGTTCTCCCCTATCCTGGTGAGGAACTGGGGAAGGGTAGATCCTTAAAACAAACAAATTGTCCGTAAACCTCCTTCCTGGGGCTTAAAAAGAGCAGCTCTGCCTTTTTCTGTTCTGTGACCTCTCTTTAGAAGAGATGGGCCCCAGAAAGGGGGAGGGGGAGGCAAACAGCCATATCCAAGCTGAAAACCAGGTCGTGTTACTAAGGATGAGTAGGAGAAGCCAGGACCCCCACCCCCCATTCCCGGCAGCAGAAACGGGCTGCATGGAATAGGATGGTTTCCTGGCTTGGTGCTCTCTGCCAGAATCGAACACTCAGGAGCTTTGCATGGTGGGATGGGGCTGTGGGGGAAACACTACGGTTTCAGTCTGGGCTGGGTGAGACATTCAGGACAGGAATATTTAGCCCCCAATCTTTGCCCCAGTTTCCCGTGGTTCTCAGCCCTAGCTTCCAGGCTGCTTTACCAAACGACCTCTGTCTTCAGGAGCCAGCCTGTTCCCAAAGCTGGCCCTTCCAGAGAAATACTGGATGGGATAGAAGGCCGAGATTCAGGAGCCTAAAGTCGGGCGAGTGTTCTGTAACCGAGAGTGTGGTCACTGCAAGGCAGCACACAGTTCCTGTACTTGGAAGTTTCGAGCATCCTGATCCCATGGGGACAGATTAAAGGAGCTGCTATTTGTGAGCCTGAAGGGGTGTAAGCTGTGTAAGAGGAGCCCAGAGCTCTCGACCTGGAAGAGGGTTAGAGTCCTGACTGAAGTTCGAGTAGGTCTAGGCCATCCAGACACCGTGGGCCAGGGACTGTCTTGTCTAGCTTGGTACATCGAATGTCCTTGTGGCCTTGGTACAGGTGCTCCCCGGTGTCCCCAAAGTGTTCAAGCAGGAGGAAAGCTGATGAAGTCTCTCTGGGAGCTGGGGCTTATTCCGGGCCTAGAGTTCCCACAGCCTCTAAGGAACTTTCGCCCCTGTGTCTGGTGTCCCTGGGATCACATCCCCAGTCCAAGAGTGTGGGGCGACAGGACAGGTGAGCCAGAAACTGGCCTTCACACTTCTCTCTGCTTTTGAAGGGGGAAGACGTTTTCATCCCGCTAACTCTCGGGAACAGGAAGAGGAGGCGGCTGGCAGCTGAAGGCGGGAACACTTGCTGCTGGATAATCGTAGCTTCTCAACGTTGCCCCTCTTCAGGTTCTTAAGGGATTCTCTGTTTTGGTTCCATTTTGTACACGTTTGGAAAATAATCTGCAGAAACGAGCTGTGCTTGCAAGGACTTCATAGTTCTCAAGAATTAAAAAAAGAAAAAAAGGATTTCCACTTGATCAACTTAATTCCTTTTCTTTACCTTCCCTCCCTCCCTCCCTTGCCTTCCTCCCCCTTTTCCAAGCTGTTGCGCTTTGCAATATGTTACTGGTAATGAGTTGCAGGATAATGCAATCTTAACTTGTTTTCTCCTAAGTATTTGAGTTCAAAACTCCTGTATCTAAAGAAATACGGTTGGGGTCATTAATAAAGAAAATCTTTCTATCTTACATGAGAATTTGCTGGGTTTCTAGACTGAATCCAAAAGAGAGAGGAGGGGGGAAGAAGAGTACACATGGTGCTGCCCTTAAACTACAGATCCAAATCTGGGAAACCTTAGACCAGGAGTCCCTCAACCACCCCTTAGAAGAGAAAGAGGATGGCTGGTTAGTGAGCTCTTGGTTGGCGGTTCTGAGTAAATGTGAACGTGCTTCCTGTAGAGCCTGCTTGTTACCAAGTCTGGCTGGCTGTAGCCGAGAAGCTTCCGGGACTGTGATAGTCACATAAGTGTTTTCTGGCTTATTCTTTTTTTTTTAAGATTTTATTCATTTATTTGACAGAGACAGCAAGAGAGAGTACAAGCAGAGGGATTGAGAGGGGGAGAAGCAGGCTTCCCACTGAGCAGGGAGCCCAGCTTGGGGCTCGATCCCAGGATTTTGGGATCATGACCTGAGCTGAAGGCAGATACTTAAGGACTGAGCCACCCACGCTCCTCCTGGCTAGTTCTTTAATCATGGATAATACACAACATTTCCCACAATGAGTTCTGTGGCATGTGTTGTTCTGCAGAACATTGATGGGTGTTAGGGTGTGGGCCCAATGTAGACTAACTGGCCACCCTTTCTCTTCCCACACAGGATCCCATAAGACTGGCATTCCGCAAAATTCCCTTTGGAGAGATGCTTGCCTAACAGTATCGAGCCTAGAAATGTATGCTGGCCCCTAGCTAGCAGGACACTGATCCCAAAAATAAAATCGTTCAGAATATTCAATAGAGAATGGTAGGAGCACTTGAAATGGTCTAAGGGCCATCCTGGCAGGTTTTAGCTTCTTGCTTTCCCTTTTAACTTGTCTCCATCTAGTGCAGTGTGTTTCAGGATGGTTTTAAGACTCATTCGTGAATTGTGAGCTGTCCTGATATTTTTGCTTCCTGAACTGTTATGAGATTCATATGCAGCCGTTAAGAAATAATATAGAATTTCTGTGTGCCCTTCACCCAGCTCCCCCCAGTGGTAGCATCTCAAATGACTGTAGTGTGGTATCTCAGCCAGGACCCTGCCCACAGTCTGGCCTCTGTGTGTGTGTGTGTGTGTGTGTGTGTTGGGGGGGACTATGTATGTCTGTGTGTCTGTCACATGTGTAACTTTATCATTGGCTTTTTTTTTTTTTTTTTTTTTTCCAATTTTTTTTTTTTTTTTGGTTTTTTTTTTTTTTTTTTTTTCTGAAGATTTTATTTCTTTGAGGAGAGAAAGAGCAAACACAAGTGGTGGGAGGAGAGTAGCAGTCCCCCCACCCCCACCACAGAGAAAAGAGCCCAGTGCAGAGCTCAATCCCAGGACCCTGAGTATTGATTTTGGAATGTGTTTTGGTTATGTACACACGTCTTGATTAGATTATAAAAGCCTCTCTCTCCCCCCCCTTTTTACTGTGGGTCACAGTCAAGAAATCTGAAAGCTATAGGTCGTTCAGTCACCCAGTCATTTCAGACTCCACTGAAATGGGCTCTCAGTTCAGGACATAGCTCAGTCCCCATCCCAACAAACCTGTGCGCTGGGGAGGAGTGACCCCTTGTCCCCCACTTGTGGTGGTGGCAGATGTGGAGAAGACAGCTCCGGCCGCTGTGTCAGCCCTCTCCCACTACTTAGCAGTTGCCATCTCCACTCCCTTTGGTCTCATTGGAAGTGAAGACTCTTGAGTTCAAGCAAAGCTACCCACCCCTGGGATTGCTGAAAGCACTGTAGTGGCTCTGAGGGGCCCCTGTTGAACCTGGCTTAACCCTAACAGGAAGGACCAGAGTGTCTTCTGGCCAGAGACCTTGGCCTCAGGGTTTCCTGAGGCCAAGGTCCTGGCTAGGCTTGTGCCCAGAGCCCTCCAGAGGCTCCCAAGGGCTTGTCTGCTCTTGCCTAGGGGGGAGTGAAGAGTGTTGACAGTGGCCCCTTGAGGGCAGCCAGGATCCAGAAAGCCCCGGTGCCACCTCCCTTCCACAGGTCCAGTTAGCGAGTACCCCAGCCCCTGCACACCACTCGTGCTCAGCCCCAGGCCACCAAGGTCAGCAAAGAGCTTCAAAAAGGAAGCCCAAGAGGATTCCCTGGCAGGCCTGGGCCCCACAATAGAGGCTCTGCAGGAGGAGAGGAAAATGGGGACCACAGAGGTCGGCCTGCAGCTAGAATGGAGGGTCTGGAAACTATCTGCACCACAGCCCTCCTATATAGGGGCCAAGGGGAGAAGGCTGGGGTTGAGTCCACGCTAGAGATGGGTGAGGGAGCAGAGAAGGCCTGGATGGTCCAGTGAGGAGGAGACAGGACCCAGGCTTCCTGGCCCCTGCTGCCTAAGCCACTCCCTTCAGACGTCATCCCACACACAGTGTTTAGACAAGGCAGTGAAGAAGAAACACAGACATCCCGGATCCCTTAGGGAGGAGGCCAGGGCTGGGAACAGAAGGAGGTCTGTTTATTCCTGGCAGTCCAACATCTGAGGGGGCCGCACACCCACTTCTGTCCAGGCCCCAGGCTGAACTCTCCCAGAGCCTCTGACTTCTGCCCGACCAGATAGCGTGGGTCTGAGGGCCGGCTGCTGGAAGCCAGCGTCCTCTGGCCGCCAGCTTGCTGGAGGAGGGGTTTGAGGCTGGATGCTTTCCTCTTCCCACTTGCCGTCCTAACAGAAGTCCTGCCTCCCCGGTTCCCCTGATCCTCTGCAGGATGGGCACAGGTAGACCCCTCGGGTCCACAGCCTTCAGCTCAGGTCTCCTCTCCCTGCCCTTCCTCACCGAGGGCACCGAAGTCCCCATCTCAGTCTACCTGCGCTCTTGAACAGGGAAGTCTTTCCCCATGTCTCATCCCCAGCTTTCTTGCTGCGGTTGTACCTGCTCCCTCACACTTCAACCTGCTTCTCTCTGGCACCCCAAGGCCTCACTTGATACAAGTGAAAATTGGAGCTTCACACCTCTTGGCTCCCTAGCCTTGAACTTGCCCTTCCTCTCCTGTACCTACTCCGCTCAGTGTCTCTGTGGAGCTGAAGTGCCCTTCTCCTCTCGCTTTTTGTGAGCTCTCCATCTGCCTTTCTCTACAGAGCTCTTAGAGGGGGCAGGTGGCTGGAGGGGAGCGACAGGTAGAGGGCAGGAATCCTAAAAATGTTAATAACCGCTTCCTGTGGGCCTGGTGTTCATCTAAGTCTTCACCACACATTAACTTGGGGTTCGTTCGCCATAGGTGAGCACAGTACAAGCCCCCTTCTACAGATGAGGAAACGAAGGCAAAAGAACTTGAGTAATTTTCCCAAGTTCACACAGAAGAAAAAAAGATCCCAAGATTCTAAGATTCATACCCAGGCTTTCTGCCTCCAAAACTGGCTCACACCTCTTACTCATCACGGAGGCCTCCTGTGTGTCAGGCACTGGGATATACAGAGTCACATGTTACTCTGTGATAGTCCCCAACACCCCAGAGAGGTGATTTTACTTGTATTTTACACGTGGGAAAATTGAGGCCCAGGACTAGCTTGCCCAAATGCCACACCTCCTAGCCCAGAGCCACTTTTACCTCCTAGCCCAGAACTAGACTCAAAGCAGTTGAGAAAAGTATCGAATGACCCCAAATTCTAGAAGGAAGTTTGGCTTTATAAACCAAAAGGCCCATCAGGTGATAGGATGGAAAGATCCTCAAGCTCCAAACAGCCCCACCCCTGCCACCATCAGATAGTGCTCTTCTGAATTAACTTAACGGAGCTAGGTGTGCTGTTGGCTGGTCAGCACACCCAGGGGTTTACAACACATCAAATGTAAATGTATTCGTTGGGACAAGAAGCAGAGAGGGGTAGCTGAAACCCTGATTCCTCAAATTCTGATTCCTCCCCGACTGGATTGCATTTCTCAGATTAGCTAGGCGTGCGGCAGGTGACAGGGCTCCCCTGAGGTAGGGGATCTGCCACCTCGGTGGCAAGCTACAGCTGGTGGCTGGGGAGGGGGGCACACAGGTACAGGATAGGGGGAGGGCACTGGACAAAGACCGGCCAGCCTCCCGACTCCTGCCGCCCAGCCAGTGCCAGGCTCCACCCCCCAGAGGCGGGGCCAGGCTGAGCCCCACCAACCCCAGCTCCAACCCTCCAGAGCACAGGCTGGGGCAGAGCCTGGGCAGCAGAGAGCCTGGGGCCCTGCAGTACCCACAGAGTGGAGGCACCATGCCCTCACCGGCCACAGGGACCACAGACAGCGCAGGAAGCCCTGCAGGCCCGCCTACAGCAACTCCCTGACCCCCAGGGACAAGCCCAGGCTGGGCCAGCAACACCTGCCTTCCAAGAGCCATGTGAGTAGCTACGCCCTCCTCCTTGCCGCCCTCCACGCCCGCTGCCCCCACCCAGCACCCAACCTCACCTGGAGACCTCAGCCCCAGGTCCTGAAGAGGCCATTGTAGCCAGCCCAAGCCACCAGAGCCTCCACGGTGTGCAGGTCACGGGCCAGCACACCACACAAGGTGGCCCAGGGTCCAGCCCTGCCTTTCATGCTGCTCCTGGGGAGGAGGGGTGAGTCTCCCACCAGGGGAGTGCTGGGACCTCCAGCCCCAGACGAGAGTCCAGGTTTGAAGTCAGGAGCCCTGAGGTCTCATGGGGTTTAATAAAGTTTGTGGCGCAGGGACAAAGGGAACAGAAACTAAAGGGCCTGCTAGAGAGGGAAGGATGTCCTGGGTCGAGGGCTCAGCGTGAGGGGTGGGGGAAGTTGAGGAAGAGGATATAAGCTGAGGAGAGGGGAGAGGGGCAGCAGCTTGGCAGGCCTCAGTGGGCCTGGGGGGAGCTGGAGAGAGGAGGGTCCTGAGCTCAGGGAGACAGTGGTGCTCTCAGATCCGGTGACTTGGGGGTGGGGGCAGGTAGGAATCCTTTCCTTATTGACTTTAATCCTAGCAACAGGCGCTGCTCACCTGCCGACAGTAGCAGGAGTTTCCCCCTGGGCCTGGACCCTTCCTCCTCCCCACCGTGTGGCCTTGGGGCCAAGGTGCCGGAAGAACCGAGAAAGGAAAAGACAGGGCCAGATCGGAGTCACAGAACGGCCAGACCCTGCCCTCGGGCTCCTCCTGCCAGCTCCCTGAGATGTGGGAGCTATCCTCCTTGCCGCTGGCATCCTCCTCCTCCCCGGCAATTCCTCTCTTCCTCCAGTTCCCAGGAAGGGCTCTGTTGCCAGTGTGGTGCAGATGAATCAAGTTTATGGGCTGGAAGTCCTACCCAGAGGCTGCTCACTGAGCTGTAATCGTTATGTACTGGGGGTGGGGTGGTGGGGGCGGGGGGCAGGTTAGGGGAACAACCTGCCTTCCGTGGCTGTGGCCTGTCACTGACTCAGGTGTTCAACCAGCCCTGCCCTTGCCTCTGCCTCACTCACTCCTAACCTGACCCCCCCAATCCTTAGCAGCCTACCCTCTCCCAGTGCTCTGGTGCCAACCAGGCTGGGAGCATCCGAGGACAGGGACCCCTCCTTCATCAGAGCACCCATCCCTAGCCCTGGCCCCAGCCCAACCTGAAGGAGGCTCTCAACTGATCTATGGCCAGAAGCCACGACACACCAGCCAGACCCTGTTCTCCCTTTTGGCCAGCGTGGGGCCTTGCCTTGTGGAGGCGGGGATGGACAAAATGCTCTGGGGCTTTGGGGCTGGGTGGGTCCACCCTTTAGTCTAAACGGAGGCCTTAAAACGGCTGCCCAGAGAGGGTGGGACAGGTAATAGCACTGGCCAACACGGGTAGAGCCTGGGGAGTTGGGGGAATACAGCTGCCCCTCAGCTCCAGCCCATGGCCAGCACGCCGGGCATACTTGTTGCTAGAGGGGACTTCTTAAGAGAAGCCCAGAATATGAATTTTTATGTAAATTTCAATAGGCAGTTATTTGGGGGGAAAAATTGTTCTCAGCAAACAAGATAAGGCCCGCAGCCTGCTGCTGTGTGCCCTCTGGACGACTGCCCAGCGCCCCCTAATTCTGGCTGCCCATCTCTCATTCAGGCACGCTGGCTGCTGCTCCAGGCCTCCCCTGTCCCCAGGCCAAAGATGACCGCCAACAGCACCAGGGAGGCACCCAGCCCGGTTCCCATGGGGGCCCTGGGGCTCTCCCTGGCCCTGGCCATCCTCATCATCGCCGCCAACCTGCTCCTGGCCTTGGGCATCGCCAGGGACCGGCACCTGCGCCGCCCGCCCACTGGCTGCTTCTTCCTGAGCCTGCTGCTGGCCGGGCTGCTCACGGGGCTGGCGCTGCCCGTGCTGCCCGGCCTCTGGAGCCAGAGCCGCCGAGGCTACTGGTCCTGCCTCTTCCTCTATCTGGCGCCCAACTTCTCCTTCCTGTCCCTGCTCGCCAACCTCCTGCTGGTGCACAGCGAGCGCTACATGGCAGTGCAGCAGCCCCTGCGGCCCCGCGGGAGCACATGGCTGGCCCTGCTCCTCACCTGGGCCGGGCCCCTGCTCTTTGCCAGCCTGCCAGCCCTGGGGTGGAACCATTGGGCCCCCGGCACCAACTGCAGCTCCCAGGCTGTCTTCCCGGCCCCCTACCTCTACCTTGAAGTCTACGGGCTCCTGCTGCCTGCCGTGGGGGCCGCCGCCCTGCTCTCTGCCCGTGTGCTGGCCATGGCTCACCGCCAGCTGCAGGACATCCGGCGGCTAGAGCGGGCAGTGTGCCGTGGCGCGCCATCGGCCCTGGCCCGGGCCCTCACCTGGAGGCAGGCAAGGGCACAGGCCGGGGCCACGCTGCTCTTCGGGCTGTGCTGGGGGCCCTATGTGGCCACCCTGCTCCTCTCAGTCCTGGCCTTCGAGCAGCGCCCGCCACTGGGGCCAGGAACTCTGTTGTCCCTCATCTCACTGGGTAGCGCCAGCGCAGCAGCCGTGCCCGTGGCCATGGGGCTGGGGGATCAGCGCTACACAGCCCCCTGGAGGACGGCCGCCCGCAGGTGCCTGCGCATGCTGCCCAGAAGGGCCCCCCACACTGGGCCTGGCCCCCGCACAGCCTACCGTACCAGTAGCCAAAGCAGCGTGAACCTTGACTTGAACTAGGGGAAGGGCCTCTGCTGGCTCCTGCTCGAAGCATCTGTCCATCTCCGCCACCAAGGCAGTCTCCTCTTGTCTCCCCGGCCCTGCATCAGAGGCCCTGCCCTTATCTGACCCCACCCTAACCTAATAAACTCTGGCCAAGTCACGGTTACCTCATTCTGCTTCTCCTAAAGGGGGTGGGGAGAGAACTAAAGTCAGACGTGCATCCACAGAGATCCGACTCCTTCAGCATCAACCGTCGGGGAGGGCCAGCTGGGGGCTCTCAAAGCCTAGCAGATTCTGCGGGGCCGCTTACCCCGACACGCCCCTCCCTGGTTTCTCACATCCAGATGCCACAAAACCCACACACACACAGTCTCTGGGAAGTATATTTTATTTACATTTTTAAAATCTGTAACTAGTATCTCTTCCTCCTTTCCACCCCCAGAGACTTGGGAAGGGAAAGAACGGGAACCTCAAGGACCTACTCCCCACATACAAACACACAGCCCCGTGATCACACCAGCGAATGAAGGTGAATGAGAAAGAGGCCTGACCCCCCCACTCTGAGGGACCCACAGGTCTGGGCGAGGGTGGGGGCGGGCGCAAGGGGTGGGTCTCTTAAGAGAAGGGACAAAGGGGGCAAGTCAGTTTGAAGGGGTTGGAAAGTAGTCCAAGGCCCCCGCCTCCTCTTTCCCCATACCCTACCGCCTCTGCTGGTGGGGTTCTCCCTTCAGCCCTCAACACCAGAGCAGAGGCTGCAGCCATTAGCGGTCAGGTCTCTGGACACAAAATACTTTTGCTTTGTGGTCTCCTGATGTAGTCACCACCAGGGAGGCATCTCTGTGGACAGAAAGCACAGGTCAATGGGACTGAGGGCCCTGAGGCCCGGCCTCAAGCCCACCGCCCTGAGGCCCTCAGGGGGCCTGGTGCCTGGCACCGGGCTGCCGTGTCCACGTCAAGTGAACATGCTGGACACCTGCACCCAGTAAGGGCGTCAGCAAGAGCCGCAGCATGGGGGAGATGGTCCCAGCCCCTCAGTGCCAGAACAGAGATGTGAGCGCCCACGCAGGTCCCCAACCACTGGAAGCGACAACTCCCTCAGGCTTCCCTGCACTTTGGGCTCACAGGCTGCCAGCAGGCCTTGGGGCCCACCTTCTGTCCCTTAGGAAGTCCCTCCCACACCCCAAGGACCCTGCGGCCCCCCAGGGGCCCTTCCCATCCTCCAGATACTCAAAGAGACTCCAGCCCTTGCCAGATTCGTACTTGCTGAGGGCGAAGTCCAGGATCTCGGCCGTGTGGCCCCGGTAGTCTGTGAGCAGGCGGCCAGTGCGGGCGTCCCAGAGGCGCACGACACCGTCCAGGCTGCAAGTGTAAAGCACGGCGGCGCCCGCCTCCCACAGCAGCTGCACGATGCCTGACTGCGCGGGTGCCAGGCGACAGAGGGGGCATCAGGGCCAGAGAAGCGGGGGGCCTGCCGCTGGCTCTCAGGGAGGGTGGGGAAGGGTAGGGAGGGGGCGGGGCGGGGGGCACCAGAGAGCAAGCCCTGCCAGGGTTCCAGGCTGCCCGTACCTGGTGCTGACACTGGTGCCGAAGGGTCTGTGTAGACAGGTCATAGATGGCCAAGGTCCCATCCAGGTAGCCGACAGCTGCCAGAGGCATCCTGGGCGAGGAGAGGACCACTCAGACTAGCGGACAGCCCTGGATGCCCGCACCCTGCCCAGGCGCCCCTCGCCAAACCCTCCTCCCCAGCTGGCCTCCTCTCCAGGCCAAGGCCCTTCTCACACTCACACGCTGCAGAAACCCAAAGACTCCACAGAGTTGGACTCGCTCTCCTCCCCTTCTCCCACGCTGGGCTGGGACGCCACGGTCTCAGGTCTGAAAACACCCACCACCTAGAATCCCCGGGAGAGAAGCTGAGGGTGGGAGGAGGGCTGATGAAGGGGAGGAAAGGGGACCAGAAGAGTCTCGGGGTGGAGGTGGGGTGGGCATGGGAGGCAGCGGCTCAGCAGCCTGGCTCTGGGTTACACTCACCTTGCCGGTGGTGGCACTGACCAGCTTGGCCTGGCAGTCCACAGAGCCGGTGAGGATCAGGCTGCCGTCCTGGTTGGTGGCGACACAGGTCAGAGGGCCCTGGTGACCCTCAGTCCCTAGGAAAGAGCGGACGGCGAAGTAAGGCTTCGTCGTGGCCCCCGTATCCCACCCCAGGCCTTCCGCACAGAGACCCAGGGAACCCCTGTCCCACCCTGGAGACCTTTTAGTACGTGGATCGGGCTTCCCTGCTTCAGGTCCCAGATCCTGATGGTGCCATCTTCATAGCCGACCACAGCTCTCTTCCCTGAAGACCCACAGGCACAGATGGAGGGGAGGACAGACAACACTCTCAGACACACCCAGCAAGGGAATGGCAGGGAGGGTAAGGGAGCAGACGCTGCCCCTGGGACTAGCAGAAGCTGTCTGCTCTGGGGCCTGGGTCCATGTTCCGGACAGCAAACCTCAGAGCTGGCCGGCTCAGGCCCAGGAGGGAGCCCAAGACGCCACAGAAACCTGCAGCCCACCGCCCAGCAGCCTGGCAGACAGCAAGGGGTGCGGCCCTCACCATCAGGGAGGACTCGGCCGCAGGTAGCTGGGCAGTTGGGGCCTTGGAAGGTCTTGCAGTCGCCATTTGGGACCTTCCACATCCAGGTGTTGCCGTCAGCTGTGCCAGCCAGGAGGACAGGTGCCCGAGGGTGCCACTCCATCCACTGGACAGAGAGGAGGGGTCAGCAGGCAGGCCTTTCACCCCATTCCCCAAGGAGCCCTTCCTTAAGTTCCACCCAAGCTGTCCTTGCTTCTGAGGGTGGCAGGGACTGGACAGGAACAGAGCCAGACGCTCGTGCCGCACCTGGACAGCACACTGCCTTCAAGCCGGCACGGTCTGGTAAAGGCGAGACTGGATGACCCCCACCCCCCACCAACTCTTGGCACCTACCAAGGCCCCGCACAGCTCAACACCACTCTGAAGATCTCACCTCCAGATCTCCTGCTTCAAAGGACCAGACCTCCTCCTTGGTGTCCACCTGCCACACTTTCAAGAGGCCGCTCATGTCCCCTGTGGCCACGAGGCTAGAGTCGTGGCTGAAACCAGCACAAGTAACAGAGTCTTTATGGCCTGCAAAGGAAGGAGGCAGAAAGAGAGGAGAACGTCAGGAGAACAGGACCCAGGTGTCTGGCCCCCTGAAAGGACCAGCTGGGAAGAGAAAGGTCGGTCCCACCATAACAGGGGCCTCAAGCTCACTGCCACTCCAGGAGTCAATACTCAGCCAATCCCCCCAGGTCTCCCTAGGGGTAGTGATGCTAGCCTTCCACTCAACCATGCCTAGCTGGCCCAGGCCTATGTCCTCCCCATTCTGTCTGCTCCATACCTCTGCCCAAAAAACCGGCTCCTCCTCTCTGTCTAAATATCCTGCGGCCGCGGCCTCCTCCCAGACCATCCCCAGACTCCTCGGGCCAATACTGGCTCCCTCCCCATGCCCAAGATAGTCTAGGTTATTCTGTTCTGAGGTCCTTGGGTTCAGCACAGAGCTCGCCCCAAATGGGGACCAGTAAATGGCGCTGGATGCACAACCATTGCAGGCTAGCCCCCAAGACCTCCAAAGTAACACAACTACACCCGCAACCCCTCACCTGCACACTCAAAGAGCAGCTCCCCATCACTGAGCCTCCACACGAAAGCCTTGTCATCTTCACCCCCGGTCACTGCCAAGGTGTTGGTCTTGGGGTCCAGGCTCACACAAAACACAGACGCTATCCCAAGAGATATTCCATGAGTAAGCGGACAGGGTTCTCCCGCCCCCCCAACCCCAGGTTCTGTCCTTCGGGACCTTCAGGAAGCCCATCCCCTTCCACCCAAAGCAACATGTCTTTCCTCCTGGAAAAGAAGGGTGCATCCAAGTTCTAAGTTTCAAGCATCAAGTTGTTGGAGCAATCCCAGCCCACGCTTGCCAGGCTCCAAGTCCTTCCCCAGTGCTGCTGCCCTCACCGCCCCAGATAGACAAGGAGTGTACACGTGCAGGCTTCCAGGTCTCAGCACAGGGTGTCACCAGGCTGAGCACAGAGTGAGGAAAGCACCATGTCACTTCCCTTATTAAGGGCTAATATTTGAGAGAATTATATAAAACACGTTCAAAAAGGTACAACTACCTCTAATTTACTATAAGGTAACCTTCTGAAAAGAAACTAAAACCCAGAGAGATTAATAAAGATCGTAAATCGCTAAGGAACAAGAGGAGGATTTGAAGCCAGCCGGCTCAGGAGCCAAGCTCTCCCCCAGGCCCTCACAGTGTGAGCTCCTCCAGGGCAAGGCCAGCCTCTGTTTTCCCAACTCCCTGTCCCTCCAAAGGCTCCCTACACAGCAGGAGTCTGATGTTCCAATGCCCACGTGCACTGAGTTGATGGCGGATCCCCTCAGAGACCTACCTGAGTGCAATGCAAAGGTGACTTCACTATCGTCTGGGCCCTCCATGCTGCCGACCACCCCTTCCTGGGGTTCTAGAACCCAGCCCTCCTCGTTGCCCTCTTCCTCTTCTTCTTCTTCTTCGAAGTCCACATCTTCCATCTCCTGGGCCAGATCATCTGCTTTGGGGAGAGGGTTAAGAGATGCGGCTGGGCAGACAGTAAAAATGAGGGAAGGGGAGAAGTGGTGGGGAGGTCTGAGGCGCTGGGGTGTAGCAAGAGGGTCGGCTGAGGTGAGACAGAGAGGGAGAAGCAAGGGTAGAAGCGGCAGGGAGGCGGGGACACGGGGGACGAAGGACAGGAGAGGTCTGAGGACCCGGGGTTGGCCAGAGACGGTGTGGGAAGGGAGGACCGAGGGGATGATGGGAAGGGGGTGTGTGAGGGGAAGGGCCAGAGGAGGCGTCAGGGGAACCCCCACCCCTGCCAGGCCTAAGAACTAAGTGTGGGGGCAGGGCAGGGGGGAAGGGCGAAAGGGGTCGGTAGGAATGACCTGTGGGGAGAGGAAGGGAGGGGGGAGAAGCAGGGGTCAGAAGCCAGGGGTGAGCGCCTCCTGTCCCACGGCCTGAGGAGCGGCAGTTCTCACCTGGGTCCGGCGGACCAGGATCCAGTTCTACCACCTCGATAATCTCCTCATCACCATGGAAGCTCAGGGTCTCTAGTGGGGGGGTGTCAGCGGCGGCCCCGCTCTCGGATTCGGACTCCATGCGGCGCAAGCGGCCGATCCACTTCTCTGGGCCCAAACGCCTCCCAGAGTCAGCTCTGCGCGACGACGCGGAACTCGAGCCCCTCCTCCCGGGAGGAAGTAGGCGTAGGCAACTCCCCGGCAGAAAGAGCGACGGCCACTAGGCCAATAGTGAAGGGGGCTAACTGCCCGACCCACCAATCAGAGGCCAGAGTTGGGAGAAGGGGCCGGGGCGTGGCGGGGAGAACCCAAACTCCGCCCGGCCTGACTCCGCCTCCAACAGGAGAGAAACAAGCGAGCGTGCGCGCCTCCGGGGTCTCCTGGGAAGAGTAGTTCTCCCAGGTCCCCTCGCAGGCTTCTGGGAGTTGTAGTTTCTGGTCTGTAGACAGGGCGGAAGGAGCGGGGGAGGCCCTTTACGCAAACTACAATTCCCGGCGGGGAGCGCGGTGAAAGGGGGTGGGATCCGAACATGGCGGCGGTGGTAGCTGCTACGGCGCTGAAGGGCCGGGGGGCGAGAAATGCCCGCGTCCTCCGGGGTAAGGAGAGGGACCCCGGGGAGGGCAGGACGGCAGGGGATCCCCTTTTTTTAATACATCCCGACCAGCGATAGCAGGAGATCATGGCTGTCGATTCCTCCCCGCACCCCGCTCTGCAGGATCATAAAGAGTCTGGGGGCTAAAAGATGCTCTCTAGAGGTCACACAGTCCATCCCCCTGCCCTCAAGTTACGCGACACCTCTGGGGTCATGCTGCGAGAGGGAGCTCTGGGGAAGCCTTTTAGACTCCCGCGCTCCAGGTGTTTCACACTCACCGCAGTGCAGAGGAAAGAGCCCTGGGCTTCTGGAGGCTTGGGTTCTAGCCCCGGATAATTAGCAGTTTGACCTTGGGCGAAGCAGTTCGTCTCTCGGGGCTTTAGTTTCTTCTTGTCTAAAATAAGGGGAGAGAGTAAGCTCCCAGTGCTAATATCCTGCAGTTTGAAAACCTTTCCTCGGATTTCCTTCATACGACTTATGTGAGCCCCACTGCAGTCCTTCACATCCTGTCGTCCGAGCAGATGAAGAACAACGAAGCTCGCTCTCCTGGCACCAGGGTGATGAGCCCGCAGTGACGTGGAAGTGGCTTCCAGAGGTGCCACCTCGATGGCAATTTTCCCATTTCCCTTTGGATTCTCCCTGGCACTTGTTACTTCAAACTGCTGTCACTCCCCTTCCTCCCCTGGGCTTTCTTCTCATCCTCTCTTACTGACTCTCCTTTCCATCCACAGGAATTCTCTCAGGAGCCACAGCTAACAAGGCCTCCCAGAACAGGACCCGGGCACTACAAAGCCACAGCTCCCCAGAGTGCAAGGAGGAGCCGGAGTCCCTTTCCCCGGAGCTGGAATACATTCCCAGAAAGAGGGGCAAGAACCCCATGAAAGCTGTGGGACTCGCCTGGTGAGTTTTAACTAAAACTCTTTACCCACCAATGGGGAGTGGCACAGGGGAGGAGGGGACCCAGAAACTTCTCCAAGTTTCAGGTGGTGAGTTGAATCGAGGTTGTGGGGACAGAACTGCTTGGTTTGAGGACTGGAATCGCAGAGCAGTGGCGGAGGGGAGGTGGGAAAGTATGTGGAATTGGAGGCACAGTGGGTTTTCTGTGTAGTAAGCTGAGCTGATCTCATTTGAATTTGGGTCCCTGGCCGCCTTCTCTCTTTTGGGAGCTTGGGCTGAAAGCCCATTGAGGTCTTTCATTGAAATCATTGAGATCATGTGAGATTATGTTAGTTGTATAAGTAGCATCTAGGTGTTCAGTATATCCTTATTTGGATCTGACTCTGACCTTAATGTGTATTGTTGATTGATATTAAAGGAAAGAAGGGGAAAATTAACACTTTTTTCCGCACCTGAGGTGTGCCAGTACTTTACAATGGAATGTTTTAGTTTTTTCTGAGATAAATGTCACATCCCCTAAATCCAAAAGACAAAACATTTTTTTAAAATTCCATCCCATTTCACAGAGGAGGGAACGAAGATTCAGAGGTGGGATTCCCACCAGGTCTCGTGACTCCATGCGCTCTACCCCACACCACAGTGCCAAGCAGGTAGCGGTGGTTACTCAGATGTAGAAGGGGGTCTGGGAAGGGATGTGTGTGGGGCGGTTACAGCAGAGAGAACCTTTGCCAGCACTTGGGAGAGGGAAGGAGGATGGGCCGTCTGGAGAAGCTTGCATGGTCGGTATGGCAGGATCGCAGGGCTCACGTCGAGGGGCATGAAACTGTAGGGGACAGGAGTGAAAAGGTGGGCAGAGGACCAACCATACTGGGCCTTTTGTGCTGTGCCTAAGAGTTTGGATTTGGCTGGGAAGTGACGGAGAGCTGTTAGGGAGTTTAAAGCAGTGCGGTAGCCAGGATCTGATTTGCTTAGGGCCCTCCAGCAGCCAGTTGGAGGAGGCTGCCCAGAAACGAGAGGTATTGCAGTCTTCCTGCGACCGATGAAGCTGGAATGAGATTCCCCCAGCTCCTCTGGTTCAGGCTTGGCCCCTCCCCAAACCCCGTGCACATCTCCCCACCCCTAGGGCCATCGGCTTCCCCTGTGGTATCCTCCTCTTCATCCTCACCAAGCGGGAAGTGGACAAGGACCGTTTGAAGCAGATGAAGGCTCGGCAGAACATGCGGGCATCCAACACGGGCGAGTATGAGAGCCAGAGGTTCAGGGCCTCCTCCCAACACGCCCTGTCTCCTGAAGCTGGGTCAGGGGTGCAAGCCTGAGGAACACTGCAGCCCTCCCCTAGACTCTATTGACTGTGGCCTTCAAGACTGTGAAGTCCTTTGGGTTTGGCCAGGATTCCAGCCCTTGCCCGTGAGGGCCGCCAGAGGGCGCAAGAAGCTCAGGCCGCTGCCAGCGCCTGCCCGTTCTCCCCAGAAGCCGGCCAAAGGCAAATAAAGTCAGAGTGTTTTGAGCGCCAAGGAACCAGGAGTGGGCTTGTGAATTCCTTGGGACGGGAGGGGCCGAGGGAGGGGTTGGTTACTTACTTGTGCTCCCTCTCACAGAAGCCCTCAGTGTTCCTGGCTGGCTGGTTGGGGAGACCACAGAGACTTAAATACAACAAGCCTAGGCTCGGGCGCAGGGGACCAAGCCTTCAGAGCTGCTGGCCAGGAGGGCGGGGCCCCCTGAGCCTCTAAAAAAAAAAAAAGAGAAATCAAAAAGGGCCCTCCGGGGGGGGGGGGGGCGGGGTGGGGGTAACTCCTCCTCTTGGTCCGGTCCAAGTGACTGGGCCCTCTGGGCCTCAGTTTCCTTGTTTGTAACAGGGATTGGGCTAGTGATGTCTAAGACATGGGTTCTAAACTTGAACCTGTGGTTCATCTCCCCCCATCCCCACCTGTGAAATTGTGCGTACACATACAGCTTTGTGGGGAGGAGACTTCATAGCTCTTGTGTGCTTTTGTAAAGGGTCCATGATGCAGAAAAGGTCATGTGCCACTGCTCCGACAGGTCCCTGCCAGACCCGATATTTCCAGGTTGAACCTTTACCAGTCTTTGGCATCCATCACCAAGAAGCAGTGGGGCAAAATGTATTTGGTTATCTTAGCAAAGGCAGAAGACGCCAAGCCAGAATGCAGAAGTCGGAAGTGGGTGCTTTGGGCAGAGCCAAACCAGCACTCCCAGAGCTCCCACCTTAAAGAAATCAGATCCAAATAGGGGTTTAACTTCTAAACATAAAACTTTATTACATTTCTAGTTATGTCCTTTTGCATGATATATTTAGGACCAAGTAGTTAAGAGAAGTCCTACTTCAGGCTGATACTCTCAGGCTCATTCGGTTTCCACCCCCCACCGACAGAGTGACTCTTGTCCCCCTTCCCCATTTCAGCTTGAGGCACTTGATGTCATGAAGAAAGTGGCAGCTGGCTGGAGAGATAAGGCTCAAGTCTAAAATCCCCCAACACAAACTGAGGGGAAGTCTCCTTTCGCTCAGGATCCTCCCCAGGTTAGCGTAAGGAAAGAACACAGACATTTCCAGGGACACCACAGGAGGCTTTCACTTCCCTCAGACCAGGTGGAAGACACAGAGCGTTTCCCCTGCCCCCACCCTGGCCTCTCTTCCTCCTCGTTACTTCCTGGCCACACTTACAGTCCTACAAACCACCCCATTGCCTGACTTTTGCTCCTCACTTTCTGCTCTGAGCAGCTTAGGCACAGGAAGCCAGAGGTCTCTCTGACCAGAGATCTCAGAAGCACCCATGGAGGCCCCAGGCGGCTGCGAACAGGCCTGTCCTCTCCACTACCAGAAGCGCTGCGGAAGCCCAGGGGAGATGCTGCTCTGTGCTTGGCCCCTGTGCTTGACTTTGCTTACTCTCCTCTTCCTGCCCCGCTCCAAATAAACAGTATATACGCATATGCCATTGAAAGAAGAGGGACTGAAGCGGGGGAAGACCATGGGCACAGATTTCTTCTACTTTCACGAGCTCAAAGGCACCAAGGGTTGTCAAAGGAGTACTGGATAATGGCCTAGCAGTCCAGGAGGCTGGGGACAAAGTTCTCTGGCTTTCTGGGGCATTGAGGGAGGAAATAGCTCTAGTTACAGACCCTGGAAGCCTATGGCAGAGGTGGGAGGGGACACCTCATCACCTTGAAGTCACTTCTACTGCTTGTATTCCTTTTTGGCTAGAGAATAGGCTCTCTACTGAGAGCTGTTGAGAAGAGTTTGGTGCCATGTAGCGGGTGGAGGAAGAAGGCACATCTGCCTCGTGCTGTCTGGGTCTGCCAACGGCAAGTTAGTCCCCAGTTCCTCCAGCCCACCAGGTACCTGTGCGTCCCCCGCCAGAGAGGCCACCCATCCCAGGACAGAAAAGAAACTGGGCATGTTACTGGAGGGAAAGGAAAGGGACGGATGTGAGGTCCAGACTCCAGTCACAGCCTCCCAGCCCTCGAGGGAAGGGAGAACCCACGGAGGGGCGGAATGCGATGCTCCTTAATTGCGATCACCAAGCAGCTGCAGCACAAAGGTGAAAATGTAAATGATGTCGGTGTAGATCTGCAGAGCGCCAGTGATGTAGTCCTCGGGGCTGATAGTGTGCTTCCGGTTCCCCAGGACCAGCTGCGTGTCATAAGCCAGGAACTGTAGGAACAGGGAAGGCACACGTGAGGACCCAGGGGCTCAGTGGCCAGAGGTCCTTTCTGGTTCTCGTTTCAGCTGTTCCCAGCAGATCTGTCCTGGGAGCCTCAGTGCTGCTTAGAGAAAGCTAATGAACAGCACAGCACATGGTGTCTACTCACAAGGGGCCCACCATCTAGAAAGGGGAAGAGACCCACCCTCATCTGTGATATGGCTCCCTGGGTGTGCTCCCTAGCTGGTAGTGAACAAGAGGGGGCAAGAATGCCCAGAAAAGCAGTCCCCTCTTGACAGTGAAGAGAGGGATGGGTAGCTGTGGCCCGCCCCTGCCTCCAACGCAGCCTAAAATCATGCTCTATCCTTCTGGTCACTCCCTACCCAAGCCCCTCAGCTCCCCTCCCGAGAGGGAACAGGTCCTTACTCACCAATGTGAAGCAGATGGCCCCCAGAGCAGCATAGACCATGTGGAGCCAGTAAATCTGGGGAGAGGGGGCAGGGATGGTGTTAGAGATCTTAGCAAAGCACGGGCCCAGGCAGTTCCTCAGAACCGGCTTCTCCCCCGCCCCTGACTTCTGGCACTTGAGTCAGGAGACCGAGGAAGGTAGCTACATGAAAGGACCAGTTCTGCCTTCTAGATCGAAGAAATTAGGAGGAGAGACATATTTGGGGTGCCTGGCTGGCTCAGTCAGTGGAGCATGCAACTCTTGATCTCGGGGTTGTGAGTTCAAGCCCCACATAGAGTGTAGAGATTATTTTAAAAAAAAGAATAGTAACAAATTTGGACAGAGAAAACAGAGTCCATCCTTCAGTGCTCATATGACACCAGTCTCCAAAGTTAGGGTACAGAAGTATCCCCTGTACTTCTGGAAAAAAGCAGGTGGTTGTGTTATCACTCTGGGAGGGGCAGAGCCAGGCAGGCACTGGTTGAAGAGCCCTGTCACCTCTCCCCCAGTCCTAGTCCACACTTAATCGTGGTTCTTGCAGCCAGCCTGGGAAGGAGGCCCCCAGGAACACTAAGGACTGCCAGAATCCTGGAGCCCTCCACCTGCCTGTTCACAGAAGGCCAGGGCCGGCCATGGTCTGGTAGGCAGGTGCCCTCCCAGCACTGTGCTCCCCTCCTCGCAGGTCCCTTCCCTCCAAGCCCATCTTCTTAGTCCTGGGCACCTCTCCCATCTCCCTTCTAGAACCTAACCTCAGCTGTCAGGCACATCTCACCCACTACTTCCCATGGGAATTCTGCTATGCTGACCAGGCTTCGAGTTCTAAGTCTCCCAGGGCCTTCTAACTCCACATAGAGATTACCCTAACCCAAAGGATGGTGCTCTGGTGTTGGTCCCTTTGCTAGCCAGTGGAGGGCTTCCAGAAGTCAGAGCCTGCCCAGAGGCCTGGGTGGGGCCTACTCCAACACTTTATATGGAAAGTCTCCTCAGAGCTAGATTCACTGAGCCCAGCTCTCCTAGGACACTCACATATTTGAAGGACAGCACAATGGCAGTAACAATCCCAGTCACCATCATCACAATTCCCAGGACACAGAAGAGGCCTGTGCACGAGGTGAAGTCCACCTGCCGAGAAGGGAGAAGGAGGCACCCATCAGATGAGTGTCACAACCAGCAGCCCAGCCAGACTGCCCCAGCTCCCCAACTACGAAGTCCCAGTGCTGCCTCCTAGAAGGCGCGGTAGTAACCATGACATTCTAAGAACCGATGCAAGGAAGAGTTATGCAGGTACAGATAGGAGGGGAAGGGGATCAGGGTCTCTGAGGGAAATCCCTGGTGTAGAGCGGTCTGGGCCATGGCAGGCCTGCTGCAGGGCCAAGCCTGGAGGGCCAGTTTATATAAATAAAGGGGGTGTGGGGTAGCCAGGGAAGCCCCCCACCCCCATACCCTCACCTTGGTCTGAAAGCAGAAGATGGTGACTGAAATGGACACCACAGCAGTGATGATCATTGCAATGATGACGGCCTTGGTTTCATACACGCTGCGGGGGAAAAAGGGAGTGTGGAGAGGCCAGAGGCATAAGTCATGCAGGAATGACTTCAAAACTCTCACTTCTAGAGGGATCCTGCCCAGCATCCCCCCACCCACGCAGATGACTGCCAGCCCAGGGATGCCCCACTCCCCCATAATACTCCGCAAAAGTGTGGTGATTTGTCCCAAGTATACCTGGAAATGGTGCCCGTCATGAAGCCCATGGCAAGAGTCTGAGGGGAGGACAAAGACGAGAGTGGAACATGTAAGAAAGGCAGGCCCCTGGAGGCACGGCCATGGCAGACTGCCAGAGCTGGGGCCATGTGTGACTGAGTCCCAGGCAGCCAAGGGGAGACCGAGGTTGTGGGTCAGGTTAGGGTCGGGGGAGAGCGCCAGGGACATCTTCCATGGTCATGTCTCCAGCTCTTCCCTGGGACCCACCCTCCCTCACGCCCTTCGTGACTTACAAAGATGGTCAGCAGGATGATGTTCCATGGGAAACGGCGTCTGAAGGGAAAGAGATGTGATTAAGTGACTTGGGGACCACCAGGTGTCAGAGGCTCCTTGAGCAGAAGGTAGTTCTTGGCTCAGTTGCTTGGAGAATGAGGCCTCGACCTGGGGGAGGGAGGCTGGCCTGGCCTTTGGTACCCACGCAGGTGTTCTATGCAGGGACAACATGGGCCAGTGGGACAGACCCGGGTCCGTCTGCAGCTCATACACTGCCTGCCGGTGTAACTGTGAGGAAGTTACTCGGCCTCTATGAGCATTGGGTTCTTCCTACTTGTGAAATGGTTAAAGCGTTACCTACCGTGCAGAGGTACCGTAAAAGCCGCAGCCACACGACAGACTCAATCCCACACAGGCAAGGGACTTTGAACACAGCTGTACCTCAGCTGTGCCCATCACCACTCAGCTGCTGTCGGCATCCCCATTCTCCCCCAAACATCTGTCCCCCTGCCCCCCACCGTCCCTTCTCATCATCTGTCTGGGACTCACCTGGGTCCCTGGCAGCAGGCAAGGGTCAGGTAGGTGGCCAGGAAGACAGCACTGGCAAGAAAGAGATGAGGAAGTCGTCTCCAGGCCCGTCCACCCCCCAGCCCCCTCCGGGCCCCGCCTGGCAGCACTTAGCAGGCCAGCAGACTGGGGGCTCTCGGAAGCTGGGCGTCCACAGAACTATCTGGAAGTCTGAGGGGAGGCTACCCAGGACAGGATTACCGCAGCCAAGGCCCTGGAGATCTCTGAGATGCGGGGTTTAGGCAGGAAGGAGGCTGAAGGAGACTGTGGCAGAGAAGCTAAGAGAACTTGGGGACCATCTGGCAGTCTGCCCGTTGCCACCAGTCCCCCACCCCTGCTCTCAGGAGCTCTGTGGTGCTGTCAGTCCTCACTGGGTCACTCCCACACACCCACACTTCCCAGCACAGCTGGTAGCTTGAAGGGCCCCTCTCAGAACGGATATTGATCCCTGCCCTGAGAGAAGCTGGTCCGAGGTTCCCCCCTCATCTCCCTGCCCAGCCCCCCACCCCCAACACACACACACACAGCAGAGGGGAGCAGAGACTCACTAGGACAGGTAGTAGACAAACAGGTTTCTCCTCACAAAATCACCAACCGGCTTCCTGTGGAGCAGGGGAGGAGGGGAGAGGAGTCACACAAGGCTTGGCTACCTCCTTGCCCAGGCCCTCCCAGCCACCGCATACAAACTCCCCCTCGGGTCCACCTGAGCACAGGGTCCCTTCCAACCCACACTCCCTGCAGGGGACCCAGTAGAACTGGGCAGAGTCCTCAGACTCACACGAAGGTGAAGATAGCGATGATGGCCACCGTGATAAGCAACTGGATGGAGATGATGGAGTAAACCTGGAACGCAAGCCAGGGTCGGGGGGCAGCACGTGTCACACCATCCCCCCAGGAAGCAGCCAGCCATCCCCTAGGAGCCCCAAAGACCGGCTCTGATGGTGGGGAAGGGGCTCTTTCTTAATTTTGAAGGATCTAGTCTTACTTCGCTTCCACCTGAGGGCCCTCCCCTGCTGCTGCCTGTCCTGAAGGCCACCCCAGAGTAAGGAGTCTGGCTCAGAGGCTACCCACACTCCCAACACTGACCCCCACCTCCAGCTGCTCCTTACGATCCCCTCACCTCTGCCCCCACCCCCACCTGCACATGTCCCATGGCTAGCCTAGCTTCCCTGCTTCCCACCCTGCACCCCCCCCCCCCCCCACCAGGCTGGCTCCTCCCAGCTCACACAGCACTCCTGTGCCCGCTCCTTTGCCCACCTAGAGTAGCGCATGCGCATGTGGGGGCTGGGGAAGAGGAGGGGCATAAACAAGTGTGACTGTTCTGGCTGCGAGCGGCTGCCGGTCTCACAGGAGAAAGAAGTTTGCGGAGGGCAGGACACTTCGGCGGAGCCCACCTAGGTTTTCCCAGACTGAATCTGTCCCTGGCCACAAGGTCAAGGAAGAAAGGAGTGAGAGGCAGGGAACATGGGTCAGAGGAGATGCCCCCCACCGCCATGGCAGGGCAAAACCAGAAAGACATTGGAAGGCAGCGGCATATCTCCATTGGAATGAATGCCCGGGGTTCACAGTGCCTGGTCACCTGCACCGCATTCCCCCGGCCTAAGGGGCCCAGGGACAGTGGCCTCCCAGCCCATGTCTCACCTTTCGGATGAAGGTGTGTCGGACTTTCCTGTCATCCCACTCTCCGGGCCCGAAGCTTTCACTCACTGCTCGCTCCTCCCCATCATAGCCCTGGCCTGGGCCTGGGGGGAAAGATCACATGTGACCAACAGGGGAGTGGGACAAGTGGCTTCAATCCCGAAGCCCGCATGACATTATGTCAGAGTCTCTAGTATCTCCAGCCAAAAGACAGGAGCCATATACTCAGGAGCTCCTGACCCCAGCCAGGTTTTCTAGACGCCCTCAAGGTGACCCAGTGCTGGCCTGGACACCACACAGAGCCATGTGTTCCTGCCACGAGGGGCCTGAGGTATGAGCCCATCTGTCAGTGCACACTCATTTGTTTTTTTTAAGATTTTATTTATTTGACAGAGAGAGAGATCACAAGCAGGCAGAGAGAGAGGGGGAAGCAGGTTCCCCACTGAGCAGAGAGCCCCATGCAGGGCTCGATCCCAGGACCCTGAGATCATGACCCAAGCTGAAGGCAGAGGCTTAACCCTCTGAGTCACCTAGGCGCCCCAGTGCGCACTCATTGAGGGCTCCCTGCGTGAGGGTGTCTGGCCCACACCTGGGTGCTCTGGGGTGTGAACACCCATGGTCCCTGTCATCTGGGGGTCACGACCTAGTGGGGAAGCCGGCAGGGGCAGGCTCGGAGCCTCGGTGACAGGAGCTGGCAGCGGCAGGGCAGGAATGAAGAGAGGAAAGGCAGGTAGACACACGAACTATACGTGCGGAGGATGGGGAACAGAGCGGGGGTCGTGTTCTCCATCTGGCAAACATGAGCATTCAGGGATGCTAGGGGTCTGCATGCCCAGGACAGGGCGTGACCATGAATGTGACTGGTGTGCAAACATCCCCGCCGGAACACGTATGAACAAGTGCAGGCGGCTGAGGGCTGGCCGTGGCCTGGCATTCCAGAGGCTGCGGGGCTCAAAATGTTCCTTCAGTGCTTCCTTGAGAACCGCTTTCAAAATCCTCACGTGAGCCATTCACTAAAAGTCGCCGCATCTAATCTCTCATTTTGGACCCAACAGAGCCATGACATATACCAAACATCCAAATGACTTCTAGACGTTTGCAAAACTCAGATGTTATCTTAACAGAGGAGGACCTGTTAGCACCAAGAATACTTAAAAAAAAAAAAAAAAAAAAGTGCTTCCGGTTCCAAAGGCAATTCCTGAGGGAGGAGTCTGGGCGCAGAGGGGACAACTGTCTAATTAGGACACAGTAACTAGTTACTTCATCCTGCCACTTTCTCATGTGATGTGTAAGTTCTGGTGTGTGACTGTGGACTCAGTTTCCTTGCCGAATAAGGGGCTAGCAGGCATCTGGTGGGGGGGTGAGGTGCCGAGGGGGCAGGTGGGGGAGTTAACAAAGATGGGGAGACAAGAAGAGAGAACTAAAGAGGAAATGAAAAAAGGGATGAGACAGGAAGCTGAGAAGGAAGGAAAAGAGGTGTCTCGTGTGGGCCGAGCGCTGCCCCACCGTCCCTCCCCCCAGCTCCCTTCAGGGACTCACCGTAGTGCATGGGCATCGGGTGGATAGGCGGCATCGGCTGCGGGTAGCCAGCGGGGTGACCGTAGCCAGGCTGGGGGTAGGCTGGGTAGGCAGGGTAGCCACCAGGCAGGACGGATGGCTGCCCGTAGCCCCCCTGGGGCGGAGAGCCAGGGTACAAGGGGTTGCGGTCCTCATATGGAGGGGGGGCGCTGGGGTTGGACATGGCTGCTCGCGGGCTGAGGGGAGACCCCAGCTGCTGGCACCTGAAATGGAGATGAGAAAAGCAATCAAGGGTGCCCACAGCCGGCACACGGGGCACCAGTCCAGGCTGTCCCTAAGGAGAGGGGACCCTCATATTCTCTCTCTTAATCATGATCCCCGTGTGTCACACTCTGCCCTCAGGCCATCCTCCTGATCCCCACAGTGCTGCTGGCCCCACCAGCTCAGCCCCAGCCCCTCTGCCTTCATGCCAGCTTTCTGGCCATGGCACTACTTTGGTTCAGTTTCAGGCCCCAGGAAAGCAGAAGGGGAGATTTGTGCTGGAGCCCAGAGCAGTCACTGGGCCCCAGTGGTGTGAGGGGCGGGGCAGGGCGGGAACTCCCTGTGCTCAGCTAAGCAAAGCTTCCAGGGACCAGCCAAGCCTCTGGGTGAGTCACAGGGCCAGCTGGGACCCATTGCAGGGGTCAGCCCAGCCCCCAGGGCAGCTGGCAGGAGCTTAGGTCCTGAAAGGCAGAGCTGGGGAGGAGCCAAGGCTCCAAGTGGAGGGGGAGGGGTGTGGACAACAAGTGAACCCCAGGGCTGAGCCACCAGGCACCAAGCCGGAGTGCAGCCAGCCCACGGCCAGTGGCTGAGTCAGGGGAGGCCAGTGGCTGAGTCAGGGGACGCTGAAGAGGTCTAGGTGAGTGGGTGCGCTGGGCTGGCCACTGGGAGCTGGGAAGCTGCAGGAAAGGGCAGGCCAGAGACAGGGCTTTCTGGTTCCTTTGGGTAATAGCTGAGGCACATCCGATAGATCTATAGTAGCCTCTGGCTGTGTTGTGTGGGGAGTGGACAGTGTCTGCAGGCCCCGAACCCCCCTGGAGGGACAGACACATGTCTTGAACCCCAGGGCCTCTGGTATCCCCATGTTCCCCAGCAGGGGCTGTGGCTAGGGGGAAGGAGAGCGCCCTGAGGAGTCTGCCACCAGATCTGGCCCACACCTTCTCTGCAGCAGGAAGACTCCCATAGCCAGGGGAAGGCTGAAGAACGAGGAGGGGGAGCCCCCAAAACAGCTCAAAGCGACCTCCAGGTTGTACGGCCCCAAATGCTCAGTTCAGATAAGGGAATCAAGGCGCCTAACAGTGAAGGGACATATAACTCCCAGGGTCACAGAACCAGCAGAGGCAGGCAGGCAGGCAGGCACAACAGCACCGAGGCCTTCAGGGGCCTGGGTATGCATGATCTGTGTTACACTGCGTTCGCGGTGCCTCTTAGGCCAGATAAATGTCCTCCAGGCCTGGTATTCCCTCTGAGGTGGCAAAGCTGGGGCTGGAGAAAAGCTAAGGAGGAGGTCCCAGAAAGGCCCTACGTCCTTGGTAATGAGCCTTGACAGTGCCACAGCCTCCTCCTACAGCATCTCCCCAGGGGCAGAACTTTAGGACCTCACAGGGAGGAAGCACCCCCGGATCCAGACAGGCAGACATCCCCAGAACTTCTGCTGGAAGGAAGAGAGAACTGGCTTCTCTTACTAGGGTACTCCACGGAGTCCAGAGATCCGAGAAAGGACTGTGTTGCCTCTTCTCTCTTAGAAGTGGGAGAGCTCAGAGAGGAGGTAGGGAGGGGCAGGGAGAAAGGATCAAGTAACAGGCCAGGCCTCTAAATGGGTTACTTTGAGGAAAGCTGTTCTCCATCCTCCCAGAGTAGACAGACCAGCACAACAAGAATGTGTCAGGTCAGAAATAAGAAAGACCTTTCTAGCAGTGAGGGTGTGACAGCGCGTCCACACCAGGCTTGTGGTGAAGGTCTACACAGTGGAGGAGAGTGACCTGACGAGATAAGGAGCCAAAGAGAACAGGAAAAGACCAAACACTGAGTGCTGCGAGTTTCAGAAACAGGGAAACGAACTGCTGTGGCAATATTCTGGTTTCCTGTGGCAATATTCTGGTTTTCCTGTAAGGGAAATTAGCACAGGTAGTTGTAATATGTAAATTCTCACAGATTTTTCAAAAGGATGAGACACAAACTGGCTCTCATCCCAAGGCAAGAGGCTCCTACTCTCTATAGCCCCTTGCCTGCCCGTCTCCAGGAGCCCCTTCTAACTCCACCAAGAGAAGGCATCCTGTTTGTAGAGGTGTGAACAGGTCACCTTTGCAGTAGGGCTCTCTGTCTGTCATCATTACAGCCATCCCGGCCCCGGGTCCATGGGACACCCAGCCATCTGGGTGGTGGTACACAGGTGAACAGGCTGAACGTGACGCAAGAGACCCTGGCAGGAAAGGCTACATGGTTGGAAGCCCCAGTGGGGCTACCACAGGGATGTCACCGTGACCCGGCCCTGTCGGCTGCTCAGGGTCCACCTCTGTAAAATGACATGTCACAGGCCAGGTGATCTGTGAGCTCCTTTCCAGCTCCAGCAGACTGAATTCTCAGAGGCACCCAGCTTTGTGGAGCTTGCCCTTTGTCCAGCCAGCAGCTGGTCCTCCCTCCTTCCTCTAAGCCGAGCCAGGCCAACTGGTCCCTTCCCAGACCACAGGGGCTGTGGCCTGGGTGCGGGGTGAATCACCAAGGGCAAGGTCAGCCTTGAAAGGGCCCCCCAGGAGACTCCAGCGGCCAGTTTCCACTCAGAAGGCTACTGACGCATAAGGACTCCCTTGCTCCTCCCTTGCCCCTCCCTCTGACTCTTCTGGTTTCAGAGGAATTCACCAGTAGACCAGCCTGCTGGGACATAGCAGGTCACAGTCCAGGTGTCCAAGGGCTCAGCCACCAGCCCACGCTTACCAGAGACTGGCACTGGACCACTTCACCTCACTATGCCTCATTTTTTCCACCTGGAAAATGGGTTTAACACTATACTAGTACCCTCCACAGAACTGAACTACACATGAAGCACTTAGAGGGGTACCTGACCCCCGATAAAAACAGTAAACGGTGGCTGTTTTTAGTTATTATTTTATTAATCCTCACAGTAGTCCAACAGGGTGGGTAATGTTATCCCATAGATGAAGAAAGGATTAAGTCACTGGCCCAAGGTTACTTAGCTAGGGTGCGATGAAGTCCACACCTGAGCTCAAGATGGACTCCTGAAGCCACACTCTAATCCCACAGCTGAACACCCTGTCCATCGAAGCCTCTCGTCACATCTCATGGCTACCCATCTAAAACTCTAGCAATAACAGAAGGCTTACATGACAAGTAGACACCGAGCTGTTCAGCCCCCTCTAAAATCCAGCCCCCAATCCCAGTTCCCAAATAACCACCAGGAGGTGAGGAGGGTGGTCAGAGATGGAGTCTTAACTGCCTGAGCCGAAAGCAAGTCCACTCATCTAAGACGAGCCAACCCCCTCGCTTTACCAACCACACAGGAAGGTAGGTGACCCATCCATGGTCACAGCGCTGGGCCCGGGGCTGGGACCACATCCCAGCTCTCTGAGTCCTGGGCACAGGAGAGGGAGACAGTGTTCAGGCAAGTCAGGGGAGTGGCTAAGTTCAGCCTCACTCACCTCCGGGCAGGGCCGGGGTAGGGGGGTGGGGGGCCGCTGACTGCTGCCCAGCCTACATGAGGGGCCTGGCCACTTCCATGGCCTCATGGTCTCAAGGCCTCTGCTAAGGATGAGGCTTGAGGCTGGCCTCCGCCTAGGTAGTAGGGACAGGGGGAAGTAGTTGGTGTTTGCTTTTGTAGCTATGACTAAGGGCAGGAGCTGGAGAACGTGGAGTTGAAAGGGAATGAGGGGAAAGGGAAGGGAGACAATCCAGAGACCAGAAACCAGGAATCGGGTCATTTGGGTTCCGCCAGGAGCTAGTGGAGGAGCTCACGGTCTTCAGGGGCTAAAAGGCACCTTTAAGGCTCCCCACTGGAAGCCTGACTTGTCCTAAAACACAGCAGGTACTCAGCTTCTCCTGAACACACTCCAGTAACTGGGAGCCAGGCTGTTCTCTTACCGGAAGCCTGAATCATTAGAACTTTCTTCCTCACCTTGCCTGTTATCACGACATTCTAACTCTGCCCCATCCCTGCCATGTTACAGAGCTAAGTTTGCTCCTCCATCCTCAGGACCCCAATGCCCCCGCAGGAAGGTGCCAGAAGCTCTCCTTTCTCCTCCAGACGCAGCCATCCTGGCAGCAGAAGCAGGTGGGCTCCGATGCAGGACTCGCTGGCTGTCAGGGATTTCGGATACAGCCGTGGGGTGGAACAGCCCCTTCCCCTGGAGCCAGCTCCGTGTGGCCACCACAGCCCAGCCAGCTGAGGCCCAGGCTCAGGCTCCCCTGGGGGCCCCTGAAGGGTTAAAGCTCTGGAATCTGCACAGAAGGGTTGAACCAAGAGGGTGTGTGTGTGTGTGTGTGTGTGTGTGTGCCCGCGCAGAAAGGAGCAGCTGACTGGTCCAGGCAGCCTGCCCTCCTCTCTGCCAGGAACGGATGCCCAGAGTCAGAATGGAAAGAATAGCTCAGAGTGTGCATCTCAGGAAACCCCACCCAGCAGACGTAGGAGCACAGTCCTTCCCTCCCGTTTCCTTTACCTACCCCAACACCCCCAGCTCTCCCCCAGCCCAGGAACCGGCCCCCCACTCCCCCGCCCCAGTCCCAGCACAGAGCCTCCAGGGCAGCGAAGTAAAAAGATACACCCAGAGGTGTCTGGGCAAGTCACCAGGCCGCCTGCATGCGGACCAAGAGGCCCAGAATCAACTTATCCTTCTGTCTGCTTGGCTTCTGGGAATAACAGCATGACGCGGAATGGATCTAAAAAGAGCTAGAGTGCCTTTAGAAATCATCTGGTTGACTGACACACCAGGAAACCCCAATACCAAGAAAGTTCCTGCCCAGCGCACAAAAGGCCCTGTGGGTCACCGGTTTGGAACTTCCATTCCCAGCCCTGCCCAATGTCTGAGAACCCAGGAACAGATGTAAGCACACACACAGCTGAGGCGGAGCCAGGACAAGCCACCCTCCTCCCGTTCCGCCCCCCTCCTCTGTGCCCCCACCCTGCTCAGAAACAGATAAGACTGCCAACCCTCGACTTCCCTCCCCGCCCCTGGGTCTCAAGGCCAGGGCAGCCTCTCCCGATCGAGCTGAGAGGGGTGGGGTGGGGAAGACGCCCTGGAGAGCAAAGGAGGACCCATGTCCCACAGCTCTGTCACCCTTCTTGGGGCGGGGGGAATATAAGTGTGTCACCAGTGTGGGTAAGCTCAGTGACTCCAACCACGTCACTGGTCCCAAAGGCCTGGAAGTGCAGATAAGGAAGGAGGATTCAGAAACACTGCGCCTAGCCACCTCCTCCCTTGCCTTTCATCTCCAGCTTTTCCTTGCGTCTTGAGATTAGGAGGGAGGAGAGGCAGATGTAATTAGCAACCCACGGTGGAGAGGGGACTAAGCCTTCCCTCAGTGGGCAGGGCGGGCAGGAAGGAAGAGAGCAGCTTAGAGCAGTGAGTACTGGGTACCCGTCACTGGCTCCTAAGGCAGGTCTGAGCCTGACAACAGCCCTCTGAGGTGTGTTCTTACCCCCACTCTCCAGAGGAGAAAACTGAAATTCAGAGGAAAACAGATCTAGGGGCCCACAGCAGGCAAACATCAGAGATGTACTGGAACCCAGGCTAGACATCCGATTTTAGAGTCCAGGCCCTTTGCTTTTACACCTGCTTGGAACACGAGCCCCTCAGGCACCCCTATCAGCCACCTTCGTGCACAGACCCGCACCCAGGATGGGCTGGTGTAGTGAGGGCCTTTCCCTTAGAGAGAGTCAGTCAACGCCAGAGCCGTGGGTTAGAAGGCAGGCAGCAGAGTTCTTGTCTGGCTCCTAACACCTCTGTGAGTCCGGGTGGGCCACTCCCCATCCCTGGGCTCTCTCTTCCCCACCATAAAACGGGTACACTGAGCCAAAAGATCTAGTCTATTCCAACTCCAACAGCCTCTGCTTCTGAAGGAGCAGCCCGACAGAGCACAGCGGGTCAGGGCAGACCGCCCTGCTTCGTCAAGTATCTATACCTGGGCTTACTCCCCATCTAGAACGGCTACAGAGGCAGAGACACATGGCATGTTCCAGGGATGGGAGTGGCCCTAACAACCTCCCTACCAAACTGTCCCCATGTTGCCCTCTAGAACCTGTGGCCAGCATTTCCAGGGCGCTCACTTACCCCGCAGCCGGCAGAGAAACAGTCTAACAGTGTAGACAAGAAAGACGACCAGGCAGGAGGGAGATCAAGAGAACTGGGCTCCAGTTCTAACCCTGCCACCAGGCAAGTGACCTCCCTTGGCCTCCTTTCCCCACCCCCCAACACCAGCCCCCATGGGGCAGCGGGGAGGGACCAGTTACCCAGAACCCTGGAGCTGAGAGCTAAACTCATACAACCAGGCATTTCCCGGACTGCTCTAAAGAACAGCACCCCGGAGATGTTACTGGATGAGCTCTGAAACAGAGAAGTCTGAAAAACAATCAGTACCCCTTTCAGAAATTCCCAAGGTACAATGGCGTATCCAGCCTCTGCGCCGTCCTGCAGGGGGCAAGAACTGTTCAGCTTTGTTGAACCCAGCTTCCCCCCAGACTTCCTTGAGCCTGAAACAGTTTTAATCAGGGCACACCTAATTAATATCCCGTGGGATCCTGACCAGTCCACCTTTGTTTTACAGAGACCCAACCCTGAGAATGATTCCTGTCTTTAAGATCCCCTCGTATCTTAAAGCCCCTGTCCTCCTAGCCAGCTCTCGGAGCAGTCACGTGAAGTACAAGCGTGCCCCCTCACTCTGCGTCAAGTGGATCCTTCGGGATCCTTCCTCTCCCCCCCACCACCCGCCCCACAAGACAGCTGCTGTCATCTCCACAGTGGCCTTAATGCCAAGGGCTGGGCGACATCTTCAACCAGCACAGAACTAGGAGACTGGCGTCCCCTAACATCACCCTTATGGAATGAGAAAAGTACCGATCATTAAATACAAAGACTCATCCATCCTCCTCCCTGACCAGTGTACTGAGGACTCTCGGCAGCCAGGACTGTGGCCTGTGGACTTCCGAATATCTTTACTTCCAAACAACACCCAGGTTTTGGTCTAGAAGCCCAGACTCTTAGGGTTGGAGGATCCGGTCAAGGCCATCCCCTCCACGGCATTCCCAGCAGAATATTCAAGAAGGCCCACATCAGTGTTAACCATATTGTCAGCAGAGGCCTCCTTCCCAGAGAGCTGTCTGAGCGTGCCCGCTCTGGCCCTCCCACTCCAGCCCTGTGAAGACACGAGCGTGTGTTTCTTCTCTGGGGTTTCTGCTCTTTCTGAAGGAGCCAGGGTGAGAAGTTTGGGAGGGTGGATGTGCTCTGAGGAGGACAGCTTCCAGCCAAGGCCCCCGTACCCATGGGAGGTGTTGTAGCTGAAGCAGCTGTTACCCCAGCTCCTGATAATGACGCACTCCCCACACTTTCAGTGTACCCCAACATTACCTCTCTGACATGCCCATTTTTACAAGTGAGGCCCTGAGGTCATGGCACCAGAAGACAGAGGAAGTCAGTGCCCTCGACACTGTGTGGTCCCACCACTTGTTCTTAAGTTACAAACTGGCTCTCTGTTTGGGTCCCCAGCCTAGAGGGCCAGGGACAGCAATCAGGTGAAGAGAAAGTATGGCTGCCACTTTGCCCCAGACAAAGCAGACCCAAGGCAGCACCTGACTCCCGCTGCCACCACTGGCCAGGCCAAAGGCACCAGCTTTGAAACCAAAGCTCACCAGTGAGATGAATATTTCAGAGCTCCAGAGAACTGGACACCCGAGGGACCTGCCCTGACATCTGGCTCTGACCCTAGTTCCCAGGCCTTCCTCCACTTATCTCACATCCTAAATTGGCATCAGGTAGAACATCACCCACTGGATACCACACCCAGGCCACAGTGGGGTGAGGGGGGATGGAAACACCCCCCCCCCAAGGACAAGAGCTGACGCAGGACCCCCGGATCAGGGCCAAGCCTCCCAACAGCCTTCCCCGGCTTGCCCTCCCACCGTCTCCTGGCTCCTTGTCCGGCTCCACTTGTTTTCCCCTTTCCCAGGTTCCTGTTGGGTTTTTATGCTGACCCAGAGAGGGCAAGAGGCAGACAGCACTTCCTTGTTCCTTTCTCAACCCAGCCTAGGGACAGTGGCTGGAAGCAGGCGGGCCGAGGCAAAGTCACGGTAACAGGGGTGGCCACTTCTCCACGCTCTGGACAATGGGCCGCTGGCTGCTCCCACCCCAAAAGCCAGGCCCCCCCCCCCCATTCCCATACTCAATTCACCTGGCTGAGCCTAGGCTGGCACCAGCCTTCCGGCCGCTCCCCTCCCCCTCCCGCCGGCCCAGGGCCCTGACAGCCCTCCTCCCGCGCGCGGCAGGCCACTCTGGGGGCTCGTATGGTGGACACACCCTACGACACACGCGGCATTAGGAGGGAGAAGTGACACCCTCAGACCCTGGCCCGCTCGCCCGGGCCCACAACCCACTGCTCCGCTCCCAACGCGAAACAGGCGCCTCTCCGCCGCCCGGACGCCGCGGGAAAGCGAAACTCCAAGGGCGAGGGCCAAAGATTGTCACCCGGCGCCGCCTCCCCGGGCCGAGCACTCGGAGAAAGTTCGGGGCGTCACCCCAGCCCCCGCCCCGTCCCCACCGGCCCGCGGTCTCCCACTCCCGCCGGCCCCGGCCCCCTGACTTGCCTGGCCTCTCCGACGGTGCGCTCCCGGCCTCACTCCCGGCCTCCCTTCAGGCGCAGCTAGTCCAGCATGGAGCGCGCGGGCCGGTCCTGGGCTGGGCGGGCCTGGGCTGGGCTGGGCTGGGGTTCCGCGCCCCGCCCCGTCGCGTCCTCCCCCCGTGGGGCGGGGCCTCGGGATGCCGCCAGAGGGCGCTGGGGGCCGCCCGGGGTCCCGCCCGCGTCTGGCGGCTCGGCGCACGCCTCCGGAGGCCCGGACGACCGTCTAGGGTTCTCGGATGTAAAGGCAATACGTGATCATTGATGGAAACTTAGAAAACACAAACATACAGGAGGAAAATCTGTTCGCTACACGCCTCCCGACTTCCTGCGGAAAGCACGTGTTTTTTACTTGTCTTTCCAGAGTGGGGCGCATTGTATGATGTTTTATCCATTGCTTTTATTTTACTTAACATTTTATCATGAACCTTTTTCTTGTCACTAGATAATTCTTCAAAAGCGTCATTTTAATGCCGCAAAGTATTCTATCACATAGCTATGCTGATTTGTTAAATCAGTTTCCTACCGGAAGACACTTAAATTGTTTCCCGTTTCTCATTATCAGACACAAATCTGTGCTGAACATCCTTGACAATTCTCTTCTTTTAAAACCGTTTAAAACGTCAAATGTCCAAACATAAAGATGGAACTTGGAATCTCTCTGTCCCTGGGAACTAGGACATTTCCTGCTTGAAGTTACTTCAACCTGGAAAGCAGGTGTTTTAGACTCAGAAATCCTGACTTGGGATGTAGGTTACTAGTATTCGTGGCCCTGTTATCTCAGCCCTCCCAGCCCCTAATGCAAGGATGCCCTCCGAGTGCTATTTTGCAGACCAGGAAACGGGTTCTGGGAATTTTTGAAACATCACCCGAGTGTGTATAGTTGCAAAGTCCATGTTTTTTTCCATTACGCCAAAGCTGCCGGTCGTTGAACAGCTTTATTTCAGGCGCTTATCTAGTGCTAATAGCCACAAATCAACACTATCGCTGGATGTCTTTCTCAGCCTCTAGGGCGCTAACTTCTTGAATGGCAGCAGTGGGACCCTTAGACTTGACAAAATGTAGTTAGAACCCCTCCTGATTCCAGAGCCATCTCTAAGCACTTATCCTTCCATGATTCTCTCTGGTGGCCAGTCTAGCTTTGTCACAGACCAAGACTTGGGAAGGATTTAACCTGCGAGCCCATGAGTGAAAGCAGTGTGCCTACGAGTAAACGTAGTAAGCAGGATTACCACTCAGATCGTATATTTCAAACCAATTAAAATAGAAATGTTTTTTCAAATTGCCTATCTGAAAGTTCCTATGTTTATTCGTATAGATATAATTTAAGTCGGAGTTACTTAGGGGGACTGGTGGACATTTTGGCAGGCTAACCCCCCCTCCCCCAGCCACCCCAGCTCTCAATGTGAATTCAGATCTTAGAAGCCATAGACTTCATTTTAGGAAGTCCCCTCCCAACATGTGACCTTCCAAGCAAGAAGGTCACACTACTCTACCCTGAGAGTAGAATAGGCCCTGGGTGAAAGGCAAAGCCCCAGACGTCTGGACACCTCTTTGCGTCCTCTACACTTAGGCCTCCTCTCCAGAAGGTGCCCTCCAGGGGGTATAGCTCAGGGGTAGAGCATTTGACTGCAGAAGGCGCCCTCCACTTTCTGGAACTGCCAGGGCAGTCTCCAAGGAGATTGGTTTTCCAGCCAGCGTTCACATCGGCCTTGTGGGAAAGCGGAATGTGGAGACACACACTGACAAAACTCCACACCAGCCTCACAGCATGCTTTCCTCTAAGCCCATTTTCGGATCACGGAATCAAGATTATAATCCTAAAAGAATCCGAAAGGGAGCACCTGGCCCAGGGCACACCATGGGCATTCAGCAAATGATGTCTCCTTCTCTTGACCCCCTTTTATCCCCGGATAAAAGGGATAAAGGCCTTATTTATAAGACTCTTAGCAGATTACTAACTGAGCCCCTGCTGTCCGTCAAGCAGACAGGAATTTCTGGTTCCGGAGATGCAGCCCAGCCCCGTCCTCAAGAAACTCACAGGATCTCGGGAAGATTGTAAAAGAGTATATCGTTTTAATTTTGACAGTTTGGCAAGTGCTGGGATGAGGAAGGTTTCACTTGGGAACAGCATCTTAAGCAGGCCATTTAGGACCCCTACATCCCCGCAGTCTCAGGTTAAGCAGGTGGAGTGGGGCGGGAATGATAAGAAATGGGCCCGGGGGGCCACCTGGGTGGCTCGTCAGTTAAGCACAGGACTCTTGATCTCAGCTCAGGTCTTGATCTCAGGGTCACGAGTTTAAGCCCCATATTGGCATGGAGTCTACTTTAAAAAAAAAAAAAAAAAAAAAAGGGAGGGGCTGAGCAAGGAGGCAGGGAGTCATAATTGAGATTTCACCTCCAGGACAATGGGAGGCCTGTGACTGTCAAGAAGAAAGTCGGAAAGGGGGTGGGAGTCATGATAGTGCCCTTGGAGTCAGGGTACCAGTTTTGACAAATAAAGACGCAGAATGACCAGTTATATTTGAACTTCAGACAAACAACAAATACTTTTTTTGCCTAAGTGTGTGTCAATGTCCCATATAATATTTGGGAACACACTAAAAAGTGTTCATTGTTTACCTGAAATGCACATTTAATTGGGCGTTTGGTATTCTTCTGGCAACCCTGCCCCAGGAGGAGAGTTGAATCAAGTTCAGTCAAATCAGAGGCAGCAGGAGACAGAGTAGAAGGAACGAAAGGAATCAGGCTGATAGTTGTTTTAGGGTTGGGGCAGCCAGAGCTTAGTGATTGGAGAGGGGAGGTTGACAGGAGTGGGCCCCTGGGGTGGTTTCCCTGGAGCCCCGGTGCGGGGGGGGCGGGGGGGGGCAGGAGGGAGTGGGCCAGGAACTCAGCTTTCTCTGCAGCCAGCCCCAGGGCTCCAGTAATCTGTCCTACAGATTTCTCCTGCCCGGTGCCTGGTCACTTTGAGCTTGTGCTTAATTCCCCCGAGAAAGGTCTTTTCATTTATCACTCACTTTATCCAAAAGCTCCCTTTTGTTTTTCAGAGGTAAATATGGGGGTAAATATGCCTCTTTCTTGCCACTGGAGGGTAAGGACAAAGTCATTCATCCCCAGCCTCAGACAGCCCTGTCCCATCCTCTGTTGAGTTAAAGGGACTCTGTTGCACCAAGCCGGGGTGGGGGAGGGCATTAGAGCTCGTGCCCCGAAAATTAGTCTTATTACCTATAAACATCAGTGAGCACTTTCATAAAGAAATCAGGAGTAGAAAGAATAGTGGATTTGAACGTCCCAGGAACAAGAGTTTTGTCCTACCTTTGTCCCTGAGTGGCTGTGAGGCCTGGGGCCCCATCTTTACTTATAAATGAGTCTAATCATACCATTCTTTCCTTCCTCCTACACTTTTGAAGCCTCAGATGAAGTCATCTACGTGAAAAGTACTAAAAAAGGCTTGCACGTGGGTCTGTTGTTAGTGATCTTGCCAGTGAAGTGGAACTGGAAACAGGTTAGGTGAGAGAGCTTCCCCCTTTCCTGGAGGTGTCACCTTGTGACGTGGCCAGGGTACGGGGCCATGCTTTCCAGTCCTCCCTGACCGTCAGAATCACTGAAAGGCTTGTGAAAACATGTCCATTCCTCGGGGCATACCTCTTCCTAGAATCAGAAATGTGAATCAGAATCTTCAGGGGAGGCTGAAAGAAACACCCCCTTGCTGAATCCGATTCTCCACAGGCTTTGGTGCTAGACAGACCCGGGCTCTTTTCAAATCGTGTTAGTGGCTGCAGGACGCCGGGGCCAGGTGTATTACTTAACCTCTCGGAGCCTTGTGTCCTTCTCTGTAGAAAGGGAGGTAGTAATGCAGGGTGTGAGGTTTAAAAATAGCAGTTTCCGGGGCGCCTGGGTGGCTCAGTGGGTTAGGACCTCTGCCTTCGGCTCAGGTCATAATCTCAGGGTCCTGGGATCAAGCCCCATATCGGGCTCTCTGCTCGGCAGGGAGCCTGCTTCCTCCTCTCTCTCTCTCTGCCTGCCTCTCTGTCTACTTGTGATCTCTCTATGTCAAATAAATAAATAAAATCTTAAAAAAAAAAAATAGCAGTTTCCAAGTGCTTGGGGCCTAGCAAAAATTGTCGACTGTTATGGTTGGCGGTGAGAGAGAAGCCCAGTGACTCAGTGATGAGTTCGCACCTCTGATCTGCCGGCGGCGTGGTTGCATTTGGAAGGCTAAGCACGACCAGAAGAGATGAGTTTGCGGCAGCTAAGGTGTGCCCTCTCGCCCTGCCCACTGGCGCCCGTGGACCTTGGCCTCCTCGGTCACCCTGACCTGCCGGGGGAATTCCCAGCTCTGCATACCTCTCCTGCACAGGAAGGCCTTCCCGTGTTTTACCTGCATTTGTTTAAACAGCTCCACACTCCACAAAGCCAACAGCCATTTCCTCTTCTCTTATTCCAGCCCAAGATAATAGCTGCTCTAGGACCTCTCATTGCCGGTAACTGTGTCCCCTCCGTAATCTCAATGTCAGGCACCCACACTCTGATCCCCATCTGTCTGCCCAGCTCAACAACCCCAGCTGCGACAGCTCTGTGACCACACCAGGACTGACGGCGTCTGCGTCTTATCTCCTTTGCCCTGTCCCTCCCCGTTTCACTTCCCTTCTTAGCCAGCCTCAAACTCTGATCCCCCATGAGAATCCCCATACCCCCCCCCCCACCTGGTGGAGCTCAGCACGACACCCAGCTGAAAGGGAGAAGGAAAGCATGCAAGGTGCTGACAGATCTCACGGAGTTCATCAAGACTTGGGTTTTTCTCGGCATTCATCTTGACCTTCCCACCCTAGATGATTACTCCACACTTCCCCACCAATTTCTTCAAAGCTCCCAACTCCTCCACAGCCTTACTCTCAGGCTTAACCTTGCTTCCCATGTCACTGAGCAGACTAAAGCTCTCAGAGAACTGCCACCTGGATCTCCACCAAGCTCTCTCAAACTTCAGTGTGCTAACAAATGATGTGGGAATCTTATCCAAATGCAAATTCTACTTCCGGCGGTGGGGCCTGAGAATCTGCA